GTTTGTTTTTTTTATTCTAATAATAAAGAAATTTAAAAAAAAATTATATCTGTATGTTAATTATTAGAAATTTAATATTTTAATTTATAAGAATTTTTATTCTATTTTTTTAATTAATAAAATAATAGATTATTTCTAGAATATAAAAATATTTATAAAGCTTAATATCTGTTAAAGCTTTTATTATATTTATATAAATTCTAAATCTGAAGACTTAATTATTTTCTGAATTTATTATAGAATTTTTAAGTATTAAGTATTATTATTTAAATTTATAAATAAATTAACAGTTTTCTAATATCTTATTAATAAAGTTCTTATAGATTTTCTGAATAAATTTATTACAGTATATATAGATAATATATTAATTTTTAATAAAAATAAAATAGAATATAAGTTTTATATCTGTCAGATTTTTAAATATTTTTAGATAATTAAATTCTAAGCAGTAATCTATAAATATAAATTCTATATAATAAAAACTAGATTTTTAAGATTTATTATTACTACTACTGGTATTTAAATTAATTCTGTAAAAATTATTATAATTATAGAATAATAATATTTAATTACTGTTAAAGAAATCTAATTATTTTTTAAATTCTATAATTTCTATTAATATTTTATAAGAAATTACAGCTGGATTATTAAGTCCATAAATTAATTTATTTAAAAGAATATTTTATTTATCTAAAACTAGTTTTATAAAATAACTTTCCAGGTTCTAAAGTAGATTCTGATATTAATTCTTATATTAATTTATTATAATTTATTTAGATTTATATATATTAAAACTAATATAATTAATAGAGTAATTATAAAAATTTTTTATTAATAAATTAAGAATATATAGCACTCTGTAATTTATTATTTAAAAATTATATTTTTATTTAAATATAATTATAATATTTATAATAAAAAAATATTAATTATTATATATATTTTTATAGAATAGAAAATAGAACTAGAGAATTTATAATAATTAAAAAAATTTATAATTTTTATAAATTACTAAGTTCTGGAATACTTTATAATTATTAAAAAGTTTAATATTTAATAAACCTGTTAGATAAAAATACTATTCTAATATTATTTTATTATTAAATATTAATTAAAAAAGAATAATATACTAGCTAATTATCTTATATAAAAGAAGATTAATTCAGAGATAATTAATAATTATTATTATTAAATATTATTAAAATCTAAATTTCTAGAATTTAGTATGATTTTTAATCTAGTACTAGTAATTTTTATAAAATAAAATCTTTATATTATAGATTATATTCTAGAAGTAAACTGTATCTATTTCTTTTTAAAAAATTTTTAAAAATAAGTCTGTTAGTAAGAAACTAATTATTTTTTATAAAATAAATTATTTTTATATTAAAATAAATTAATAATTTCTGATAAAGATAATCTACAAGTTTAATTACTAGATAAAATTTACTAATAGTTATTATTAACTTATTCTGGGTAAATAAAGATAATAATATTAATTAAATAATAATATTTTTAAAATACTTAGAACAGAGATATCTGATATTATATAAATAATTATTTAATTTATAAAAGAAAGAATATATATTAAGATTTATTATTTAAATTATTCTAATTTCTTCTGATCCTTAATTAGTTATAATAATATATATTAATAAATTTCTACTTCTTTTTAAAAAATTATTATAAATTTAATACTGTCTTTATAGTAATAAATTATTTTAATAAATATATAATATTTATTTTCTATATAAAACAGATTTCTGTATAAAATATAATTTATTTATTTATTAATTAAATTTATATTTAAATAGAGCCCTCTGATATTATTATTTTTAATTAAAAAAATTAATTTATAATTAATTTTTAAAATAAATTATATTAAATCCTGTAGATTAAGTTAAAGTTTTTAATAATATATTATCTGTAGATTAACAGGTAAACAGAAATTATTAATTAATATATAATTTAATAATTTATTTTATTTATTAATTATTTTTAGAATAACTGGTCAAAACTACTATTATTTATTAATTTTATTATTATAATTTTATTTTATAAATTTATTAAATTATCTCTATTTATAATTAAAAAAGAATATAAACTCTAAATATTATTTAATTAAATTTTTTTAATAAATTTATTATTTTATACTATTATCTAAGATTAAGTCTATAAGTTTATTTACTATATAAAATAAATCTGGATCTTTATATAAAATAAAATCTAGAAAATATAGAATTAATAAATATAATAAATTAACTAATCTTATTACTCTATTAATTTTAATATTAATAATAAAATTTTTATTAATATCTGTAACTGGAGATAGAGCTAATTTTTATAAAAATTATTAGAAAATTAATATAATTTTATATTTATTATTAATAAGATTAGTAATATCTACAAGATTTACTTTTCTAAGAATATATATATATATTTTATTTTTTATTCTAAGAAATTCTACCTGTGTAATATATTTAATTTATTATTAAAATAAATTTAAGATACTGCTGTATTTATTAAAATTAATAATTAAATAAAATAAAAGATTAAAAATATTCTAGCTAGCTGTTTATAATATAATTATTTTTAATATAAAATTAAATAGCTGGTATCTAATGCAGCTAATTATATCTAGTATTTAATAAAAAATTTTAAGAATATTCTTTTCTGCTTCTGGAATTATTATATAAAATATTTTATTTATTTTAAATTTTCTAAATATTTCCCGTAATGGTTAACAGCTATAGAGGCTGATAAATTTATACTAGATTATAAAGAAGATAATTTATTTCTGGTTAAAAATAGCCAGATCTAAATAGAAAAGTAATATAATAGTAAGTAATATCTTAGAATTATATAATTTCTGTTTTATTTACTTTATTTGCTTATTTTATATAACTTGTTTATTTTTATATAATTATATGTTCTTCCTGAGCTTCTTTCTTTCTTTTCTTATGCTAGAAATTCTTGTTAGATAGCACCAAATTTGACTATTTGATCGGCTTCTACACTGATAACCTGACTGATAAGAACAAGAATCTTTTAGTAAGGACTTTTAATTATTATAATATAAAATCTAGTCAGTCCTGTCGCCATTATAGCGGTGACTATTAGAATTATGAATGTCCAAAGAAGTAGTCTGATAGAAATATGCATCTGGTGAAGAGACGTGAGTTGCTCCGGTCTGGAGTAACCGATCTAAGTCTATACAACAAACGTAGAAAAGGATCCTTTTTAAAGTAGAAGCAGATAGTTGGTTTATTGACTACAAGCACCCCGCGGAACAGATGATTATATACAGAATAGTCACAGTTAGTACTGGTGCTCTCACCAAGCAACCAGTAAATATTTATAATATTAATCAAGCTAAGTGGAGCCATTTCTATATCTTAAATATAATTATAGACTTCTTTATCAAGATAAAGTATTTTATAATTATTAACTTTCCAGTTAATATTATACCAGCTGATTTAAAAAATAAAGTGATCTTTATAACTGACAAGACTTTATATAATTTCTGTAAGCTGGTCATAGGCTCTTCCAGAATAATTAATTTTAATCTCTTAATAATTATAGATAATATTAATATTATCTAAACCTGTCCTGTTCTTAAAACAATCCAGGATATAGTAAATATATAATAATAAATAAATAATCTTATTATATATCTGGTATATTTCAGGAATAAACTCTGAGACCTGAATCTATTTCTAATTATAAAAGAAGTAATTAAAAAAGTTATAATATTATACCCAGATAATATTATCAGCAAGAAAGTTATCTAAAATATTTTATATATTATTAAACAGGACTGAATCTCTACTCTTATTATTAAAACCCATGTATTTTCTATATATTTTATTTATATTCTCCATAATATAAAATCTTGATTTTTTTTATATATATATGTCTTACATACTTCTTATTTATTATATATGTCTTACTTTTCTACTTGTTTATACTTGCTACTCGCTTATAATAATACTTCTACTTATTTATACTTTACTACTTACTTATAATAATACTTTTACTTATTTATGCTTGCTACTTACTTATAATAATACTTCTATTTATTTATACTTTGCTACTCACTTATAATAATATTTCTATTTATTTACACTTTACTACTCGCTTATATTTTACTTATTATGTTTTCCTACTCATATTTAAATACTTATTATTATTGTTATCTGTTAAGAATAACAGCTTATATAAAGCAGTAGTTTACAGTGTACCTTCCCAATTAGAAGATAATGAAGATACTTCTATTATTTTCTATTAAATAGCTCTAGATAAGACACAACCAATTATCTGCTTCTGCTTTAAAAAGGATCCTTTTCTATATTCATTGTATAGACTTAGATCGGTTACTCCAGACCGGAGCAGTGTGGGATTTGTGGGTGAGATGATGGGGGATGAGGGGAGTGTCTTGTTACCTATTTACTATTTGGATGTGTGGAGATCTAGGCTCATTTGAGATGATTCTGTCTCCTGACTGGAGGGTGGTGATTGGTTGGTGGTAGGTATTGTTTTGGTTGTGGGGTTGGTTGGGCAGTGGTCAGTGGTCATGCTTAGGTTCTTTGTTTTAGTTCCTTGGCTTAATATATTGTCTTGGGTTGTGTTATGGTATATTGTATGTGTAGGCCGGAAGGAGGGTGTAAGATAGGTACTAGGGTGCGTGGTGGTTGTTCACGTTTGCGTATGATAGTAGTGTCTGTTTCGAAGGTCGCGATTTGAGGCTGGGTGTGTGTAAGAGACATTACTATCACGCTATGGACTACTAGTTGGAATCGAAATGTTCTGAGTCTGGATAATATAGTGTGTGTGTGTTTAAGACTCTACATGTAGTGATAGGTCGATATGAATTTGGATTCTTTGTATACTTCGAACGTGTCGATGTATTCCATCTCAACTGAAGCTTTACAGAACTACAGACTACTACTAGCATACTGCTGAGTGATATGAATGGTGATAAAATGAATTCAAGTCAAGTCATAAGAAATACATCCGTCGTAAAATACATCTAGCTAGTTATGTTTGTGCCACTTCCTGCCAAACATATGGACGGCAATGACTGGCAAGAAGCTGACAGCAAACATCAACGCACTTGAGACACCTGAGCTGGCCGCAACACCGACGTTGTCGAACATGTCGGGGAACCTATATGCCATATTAGTCTATGCTCTCACTTTTAGTTGAAGACGATGGGTGACCTACCAAAACGGACCAATGAACCCCCACACCTGGCGAACAAACGTGATGAAAACACCAACACTGCCCGAATCTTCCGGATAGCAGTCCACCGCATAAGTAACCAGAACGGTCGTCACAAGCTGGTTGCCAAAAGCAGCAATGGCTGTGCCGATAATTGGCGACACAACCCAGTGATCTGGAGCAGCTTGTTCAGTGCAGACCAGGAATACAATGGCACCGACAATAGTCAGAATCACTCCAGGATAGCTGAGCCAGAGACGGTACTCGGGATCCGGCTTGTGCTGTATCTTGCGTTCACGCCGGCGCATCCAGAAGTCAGACATGGAACCTCCAATCTGCTCGCCTAGGACCGTGCCGATTATAACTCCAATAAATTGAAGACCCAGCTGCTCCGCATTGAGGCCGAACTTGGTTTGTAGAAGTTGGGGCACCTCGACCGTGATCATGACACTGCCGAACAAGAATACCATAGCATAAGCGCAGGCGGGAATCATGACGCTAGGACGTGCGGCCATCGTCAATGGGTGGAAGAATTCGCGGAGTGTGAGTGGTGTTGGGTCAATGCGGCGAAAGGATAGGTACTGGGCCTTGAAGTCGGACATGCCCTCGGTACTACCGCCGATGTAGCGGGTCTCAGGACCAAAGAAGATATACAGGATGAACTGAACACCGTTGGTGATGGCCAGCACCCAGAAAATCCAACGGTACCCGACGCGGTATGTAATGAAACCGTAGATCAAGGGACCTAAGATACAGTCAGTGAGACGCAACGTTAATAATGTAGGGCAAACTGACCAACTGGAACACCCAAGGTGACCATCAATGTCCAGACACCCAGATAACGGCCTCTGTCTTTCTTAAAGAAGGTTTCGGTAACAACGGCACTTCCAATGGCCGCTGCCGGAGAGATGAAGAAGGCCGTCAAGGCTCGACAGGCGGCCATAGAAGCGTAGGTTGGACTCTTCGCGCAACCAATGTTGCATACCAAGCTGCAGATGGTAGACAGAAGGAAGATAGGGCGGCGTCCGAAGCGATTCGCCAAGGGCTTCCAGAACAGAGGTGCACCTCCAAGAATCGCAATCTGAAGCGAAGTAAGATAACTGGCTCTTTGCATAGAAACCCCAAGATCCTCCGCGATACTCTCATAGGCTGGAATAATCGAGGCGGTGAATGTTGCCATGCAGGCGTGGAAGGCGACGAGGATGAGGTTAATCAATTTCTACAGTTAAGGACATTCAGTCAGTAACTAGAGATGCAGTTGTGGAGACAGTGCTCATACCTTCCAGGTAGGCCAGTTGTACGGGTCTGCGCCCGATGGGCTCGGGATAGGATCGAGGTCCAAGGTTCCATGACGCTGCAGGAGGTACTCTCGATGAGAGGGCGAAAGAGATGCCGCAGCAATCTCAGCATATGAAGTAGGTCCTTCTTCAATCTTTTCGAAGTATTCGCTGCTGTTCTTCTCGATGTGGGTCTCCTCATGGGTCTTGGGCGGGGGAGTCGACCGAACGTCCTCGGTCGTTTCGATATGAGACATGATGGCTGCCAACAAGCCACACAACAAAGATAAGTCTGATAGAATGAATGGGTAAAAGGGAGAGTGAGGCAAGACAGCCAGCCAAAGAAAAAGCTTTCTGGCGTCTGGGGGCCAAAAAGGGGTGAGGAAGAAGAAGTTGATCTAGCGACCTGACAGAAAAAAAGAGAGGAACCCAGGTATGAGAGACAAAGGTTTATATGGGTCAGGCATTGCTCGTCTAGCCTCCCTCGCAATTCCCAGAGCTAGGACCACATCGAAGCACAGCGCTAATCAACTACCAAGGGAGATTCTAGGCTGATCCATGATGGAAGAGTGGAGGGATGTACGTATCATCTCTGGGGTAGTCACGATTGGGGGAAGATAGGAGGAGGCTGCTGTGGAGAGAAACGTGGGGATCTTATGCTCCCCACAAACAAAAAACGCCACGCGCAGAAATAAGAGCATAATCAACGACAAATGAAAATGAGTTGCCTCCTATGCTCCTGTCAGAACCGTTGGGTGGCAAAGAAAGGCTACGGGCGCTCGCTTAAGCCATCAGCTCGGATGTAAATGACTAAATGGGGGTGGGGATGGGGCTTTGAATGCATGGGGTTAGCTTCCCCCGGACACTCGGCTTTTACGATCGACTAGGATTAGTTCTAATTAAGCGGAGGTGTTCCGGGGTAATCCAGGGTCAACTCGCCCGCATCCGTGGAGATGGCGTCAACCCCAGTCTTTTCCCTGTCGGTCCATGGGTTACTCCGGGGGGTAGGTTATATCACACAGCAGAAGAGATTAGGTACCTCGAGGTTGGTGGAAATTGGAAACAGGGACATTGTTACTATGCATCATTCTTAGATAACATTACGATTACAGTAGCAACTCTCGTATCTCCGATCCCCACAAAGCTTGTTGTTGGAATGACTCAGATAAAGAATGCGGAAAATTGCCGTCTGGTGAGAAAATTCCCCCGTGGGAAGGAAACGTGGAAGGCCGCGGATACCTGAACACCAACTGGCTTTCCCTCTTCGAGCCGTCCGGTCAGCCAGGTGACCTCAAAACACAGCGGAGACACACCCCCCGGTGGCGGCGATTAGACCGCCTTTTGATTAGTGCTTCCCATGATGGATGCTGATGAATAGCTCCAACTGGTGTGTTTTGAGGAGTGCGGAGCCTGACATGGCACCTTGCTTACGCACTGCTGAGGGATCCTTCCTCTCTGCCGCCCCTTGCGGTTGGGCCAAACATGTGGGTTATACGCCACATTCTTGAGCTATCTGAATCTGCATCGAGTAGAATTCGATGCCCATATTCTTCTCGTTTTACTAGATGATATGGACGGAGATGAATAATAGTACTCATGTCGCGAAATAAAGCGATTGTTATAACCCAAAATTTGGATGATTGATCCACACGAAGAAGTGGATGCACAGGCAGAAAACTTCCAGAAAAGCAAGAAGCGAAGGTGTAAGCAGCATCCACGCCGCTAAGCGAGCAGATTTCAAACTGACCCAATGATCCATCTACCCCCTCACATTGCTACAGACCAATCGGAGGGTGAGTCCATATCATGCCGACCGCAGCCACAGTTGCTCAATCAAGCCGATTCACGATGTCGCGGACGCAGCGGTCCCCGTCACGGGTGTGCCGGATGCTGTGATGGTCGAGCTCGATTGCACAACTGATACTGCCTCCGGAATCAATGTCGGTCCAGGCACCTCGTAAGTGGACAGTGACTGGTAGATATTGACGAGGATTCCGGGGTCTGTCGGGCTATACAACTCCGTACCGAGTACACCGGAAGGCTCGGCAGTTCCTGACCCGGTGACCTGGAGGTTGAAACACTGAGGATAGTTCTGTGCTCCGTTCTCACTGCTGGCCCCGTGCAAGGCAATAAGTTCGTGGCGAAGAACATAGTATCCGGGTGCAATGTCAGGAGGGATCTCGACCAGCCATGTATTGTTGTCTGCGATCAACTGATCATCTCCCCAGGTGCCAGGCACACTCGAGTCATCAACAAGGCCAACACCGTCAATCTTGAAGAATTCGAGCGTTGTCTTGTCTACCGTCTCGCAGCTCGAACCACAGTTTGCAAGATAGCTGATGACTGGTCCGTGGTGGCTGTCAGGCCAGGTGGTCCATTGAAGACTGATCTTGTCCCCTGCAGCAATAACTGCATGCCCCTCGGCATTAGTGGCATCCAGGTGGCATATGATATCATCCGTGCCATATTCGTCCGGCGTAATGAATCCGTTCGCAGTGTTCGGTGTCTGCCATGCGACTACCACCGGAGGATCTGAATTATAGGGATCCGAGTTGATGTCCCAGCCACGGTAGGAGACACCATTGATAACAATATTGCTCACATGGCCGTGAGCAGCTATTTTGGCAGTAAGGGAGAGGAGGGTTGCTAGATGAGTGACGGTATTGATTTCCTTCATCATGATGCTTCAAAAAGATAATGGGGAATTTCCAGTTCAAGTGTTGGAGGTGCTGCTATGGTGTTGATTGTTCTCTCCACGACAGAAATCAAGGCTGACTTTATATCTCCCGTCATTCTCTAGGGATCATGAATAGTCGTCCCCACACTGGTCATCAACTGCCTCACTTTTTTCCATTGCTGCGACTGGTTTGATGCCACAATGAGATTTACCCGTGAAGAAGGCATGACATCCGTTCCTTCAAACACCTTTCCCCACATTCTCCGGCTCAATTTCCGTTCCCAAGAAAGCAGTCAACAAATCAGATTCATGGTCTGATGCGCACAATCGAGGCCAAGACGAGATCATGTAACTTCTGGTCACGCTGGAAATGTTATGGTGGGATGCCGACCACGAATTGACAACACTGAGGCATGAGGTATACACAACAGCAGCTGCTCAGTTGGCTGCAGACTCACCGTTCAATGGTATCGCGGAAGTCAGATAATGCCCAGAAATTTGTGACTTAGACCAGGCATTTTCTGCAGATCTATTCCGATTCTTCCACGGAAATCTTTGCCAAGATACATCGGCGGAGGTTGAGAATCTGCCGTGTCCGCTTCCAGATAGGAAAGAACCTATATTCACAGAGTTCGTCGCATAGTTGACAATAATAAGCCCCGAATTGGACCAAGTGAACACTCAAGATGTCATGCTCTCTGCTAATGTATCATAGACAGGATTAGTAGCAATCGTCAAGACGCAAAAAGACTGCTTAAGACTAATGCTATTAGTCTTACTGAGGTGAAGAAAGTATTGAAGCAGGGTAATGCATTAACTTTAATGCCACTTCATGGTGCGGATACATGTCTGCTGCAGGGATCAGGGAAAAACGGATATGCGGGGATGGCTTCCGAGAGTCCATCGCAGGCTCGATTTCTTGGCCCGATCATCTGATACATGCAATGAGCCTATAATGCAATATCGGCATAAACCCTCAACAACAGCTGAAGACCACTAAAAACCGGCGGGTAATACAGCGAAGTTCCCTGAAGACAATAATGACAGGAGCGGAGCAGTACAACTCGAATCTTCCAAATACATTGAACCCCAAGAGTAGGGGCTCGCCTGACATGCTAATCATCCCCCTCCCCCTTCTAGTTACTTAACACTTGATAGCACCGACTAGTGGCAAGTAGCACTATGAAGGAAACCACATCAACTATCAAAAGAGAATTCGACGAATTCCCCTTACTGCCCCAACTCAGAGGACATCAGCTTTTATAAGCAGCTATTGACCATCCTAGCATACCGTGCAGGATGTGCCACACAAATTACCCCCGCAGGGATTTGGAATGTTGCAATTGTCCAAATCTGATTATGTGTCTTTAGACTAGTGTGATACTCTTGTCCGGAATGCATGTCTCCTATGGCCTTACACCGTAGTAGATATCTTTTGATATTGACTGATCATAGCATGATTTCACGTTGTCTCTTCAACCACTTCATACTAAGGCACTCCACTTGAGGATTGTCTCAGAAACAATTGTTCTCAACCACCTAGTTATCCGAAGACATACTAGTGAACACGAAGGGGCATAGATACTACTACCATCTCCTATTAGGCGTGATTCTGATACTTCAATATTCGTTACAGTATGAGAGGTAGCCAGAGAAGGATTGCATGTCGATGTAGGAAATGGATAATGAAAGGGCGAGACCTTAACCTTGAGGACATAATCAACACAAATCTAAGCCAGTGTACTATTGAATATAAGTGCTTATACCTTATTCAATGTCCATTGACCTGCTCACATGAAATATGTATTTTTTTTTCTCCTAGGACAATCAGTCTTCCTTATGATGTAAACAACAGTCGGTTTCCATCTATCCATCTTCGAGGCTAAAACACTGTCTACTTAACCACTCTATATGGAAGCAGATATATCTTTAAGAACTGAACCGCAGCTTCAATCCATTCATTAGCCATTCGGTGATTCTCATCCACCAAATAATTAATATTAGTGATTTGACTTTCATTCGAGATTAAAATAACATATGAAATGCAGAAAGAATCGTATCATCTAGATATGTGTGGGCTGCGATGAGATAGACAATCTTGTTTTCAATCTATTTCTTTCTGGCATGTACATTCCTCACATACAAAGGTATGATCTGCATGCCATAAAAATGAGCTACATATCGATTTCGGTCATGCGCTCCGTGCAGGATATTCTTACTACTAGTGTATATATTCTTCGGGCGCCGTGTGACTTCTTTTCTAAGCAGTTGTCTGCTCGACTATGATGACATTAATTTATAGCCCAAAGGTAAGGCGGTTCTATTGACTCAATTTAGAGCGGAGAGATTTTGCTTATAGGATATATTATACTACCTTCACCTGGAACACTTTACTTACTCCCACCATAGTCTCTTGCTTGAGGATCCGGAAGACACTACTTCTAAATTAATTCTAATAAACTTTTGTGTCTTATACTTGTCTCAGTATATCGAAGGTTACGCTACTACAAGACCAGCCGCATAGAGGAAAACAAACCATTCCGAAGTCAATGCCACTGCCACTGTTGGCTCGGGTCCAGAACCCCAACGTCGACGCTATCCACTAGGGAAAATACCAGCTACACTCTACAGATAAGTAACCCAAAGTGAAGATACTTTACCATTTATCAATCACGAGAGATATTTTAGTCTCATCTAATTTTCGTTGTATGATACCGGTGTATTGCTTCTATGATATCTATGCCTTCTGCTTGAGCTTAATGATACTCTATGGACAGCTCACCCTCGTCAATGACAGACTTCTCATCCTACTAATCGTTAATACTAGACCCGTCGCTGTCTTCCGGCTCGTTGGTCAAGTCAATATCAGGCCTTATTAATTAAGAATACCTCACTGACAGCAAAGCTGGAATCGCTCTCAATCTAATCCTTACTCTTATTATATCCAGCCGATTAGGCATGAGACGTCATCCTCAAGACCCAGGATCAGGAAGGAAAAACTGTACAAATAGATAAAGTCATGGATATCGGGGTATACAGTGATGAGGAGAGTGGGAAATTAGATAAAAAATAATGGATCATACTAGAGGGTAGGTAAAGAAGAACAAATGACAGGTAAAGCATGCCGATCCCTAACCCAGAGAAAAGAAGCACTGCTGGAACACTAATATGAGGCCTCAACCGAGATTGAATGGTCAAGACTATTGTCTATCTACACATACTATACCAACCGCATCACCAAATCTGACCTGTAACAACAGGTTGTTAGGATCTCTCATACCCTTCGATCACACGTCTCTCGACAGGGGTCACTTCCCTACCTTATAAAACACGTTATGGCTATATACTACGGAGTACTTACCCACGAATATAGGGTTCTGATACTGTATTAATAAAGCCGGAGATGCGTGTCTTTTACTACAGAGCTCTGTGTGATTTATGGAGATCAAACATGCAGGTATCTTGATACCTGGAATTGGAGAGTGGGGATGGATAAATGCTAGGTGAGGGGAAATTTGAATACGGGATGCGGAGGAGGAAAACGGCTAATCTACATTCTAGGAGAGATGTTTGAAGATTATATGGGGTAGGTTATTCTTGCAGGTGGTGTTGAGTCCCATTGTTGATGAGGGGATTGTTGAAAGAGAGGGCAGTAAGTTGATGGGGACAGGGGAGCGACCTTAGTTGTATGCGGGGTGTTTCATGGCGGTTTCATGGGTTCCGTGGGTGGAATATATACGGATGGACTCTTTATCTTGGTTTCAGGACAAGAGACCTTGTTTCAGGATATCTGCTGTGAGGAGAGGAGAGTTTATATGTAATGGAATGTCGGTTAGGGTCATGGTTTCGTGAGTGGTCTTGTTATTGGTAGAAATGGTGGATGATAGTTGTTGCAACAGTAACCTTGCCATACGATCGGGGTTTGATTATCGGAATTCCACGTACGCTGTAGATGTAGATCCGAAAAGGTCTATGGTGGCGGATACGTCATACGCGTTGGGTATTGAACTGTATTTGGGGTTGGAGTAGGTTTTCATTGGTGGTTTTGATAAAAGTCTCCGCAGATGATTGATTATCGCTGTCCAACCGGACACTGAAGCTATCTTTGTCTTGGAGATGGTGGGTGAAAGATCGGTGGCAGTTGGGGTATGGCACAACGTGTGGGACAAGCTGAAGATTTTATATATCATGTTTGTACAGTTGACCCATGCAACTTGGCAAGATTATTGATAAAGTATGGTCAGTGAAGCTACTCACCTCCCATCTGCTAAGAACAAAAGCCTAAAGTACGGCATCAGATCTTGGTAGCTGTGCAGAGTGGCAAAGTATACATTGCCATGCATGCACGGGAGTGGAGCCATGATAGCCTGCATCGACCGAGTAGAGAGGTATATTGTAACTGGTAGAGTTCAATATTGCTTTATCATGCGGGGAAGCGGCAAAAACGAATTATCTGTTCTGACTAAAAAGACCCTTTGAGCGGGTGCTGTCATGGATTAAAGACGTTATTCCTTTTGTGAGTGACAGTGGTGAGATGACGCTGTGACACCATCGGTGGAGGTGGACTATGCAAAATACTATATACCCACCCTTTCAAGGCTCAAGTCTCCTGCACAGTTACTACAGTACAATGCGGCCATGATAAGAACGTCGTTTATAGCTCCATCTTGGGACACAGACATCGTCAATGTCGCCTCAACTATCGTGTTGATCTTTTGACACGGAGATCATCCTAACCAATTGCAGTAATCAGACGCCCGTAGAAATAAAGTAGTGCAGTCAAGGCCAGCTCACGCCTCATTTCTAAACCGGGTTCAGCCGTGGGAAAGGGTGCCTCATGGAGGGGTCATGCCTCGCATCCCAGGGGTATAATGGACAGGCAGTTAAGGCGTTAAGAGCGGCGGACATCCGGGGTGCAGCAGCAGCTAAACTGCGTACTAAGCTTGGAGATAATAATTAGGCGAGAGTGGGGAATGAATGGCATCATTGGCATGTTACACGGCCACCATTATCGTGACAATGCACGTGCCATGGATCGGGTCCCCCAGGATTCTTTATTTATCTGACCGTTTGTCATGTTGTCCTTTCCCCCCTCCACTCCCTTCATCATCTGCTATTATATGGCAGGGAAGTTCACGAAAGGAGGAGGGGGTGTGGAAGGTGGGAAGAGTTAAAGACAACAAGGTTTCAAAGGAGAGACATGAAAACCATCCTCTCTTGGGAAGTGGAAGGGGAATGATTAGGGCGTGGTGACCAACCAAGTCCAGAAGTCAAGGGACCACCCGGACTCCGATCGTCAGATGATGCGCCTTTAGCCCCGTTTATCTGCTTTGGTGGCCATGACCTCCTCGGATGTCGTGCCCATCGCTGCCTCCTGCATTTATTTTTCCTCTCCTTTTTTTGAGACGGTATTATTCTTTTTCTTATTATTAACTATTATTGCCGCCCCTCTTAATTGTGTCATCTCTTTCACTACTCGCTAAGCTCTTTCTCTTCTTTCATTCATTGTGTGCTTCCTCTACAGCCTCACTCAACTCACCCCCTAACTAACCTTGCGACTGCCGTGTTTACTTGTCTCTCCCGTCTTTCTTAGTCTCTTCACTTCGGCAACTTCACCGCCATCTACCGCGCGCGCGCTGGAGAACCACCGAACTAGTCGGAGTCCCCACTGTTCGTTTTCTCGGCCTCTTCTCGGGCTTAAAAGTTGTTGGATATGTCCGCTGCTGAGGGTTGTTCTTATCTCTCCGTCCCTGCTGCTGCTGGTTTGCATCTGGCAGACACCGGACTGCCTGGGCTGACTTGACTATCTCCAGGCCGCATATATTAAGTCCGAAGCAGCTCTTGCTTCCCTAGTCTTCCAAAAATGCCTCGTTCAGTCCCTCCCAATCTGCAAGGCGCTCTCCCGGAAGCCGAGCTTCCCTCCGGCGCATCGGACGCCCGCAGGACTCCCTCGCGAACAGCTCCCCCCTCGCCATCTGCCGTTCGACGAACCCATAGCCTTCTCTCTGAAGTCCAAACTCCCCATGAACCTTCGGATCCGAGTATGGAAGTAGGTGAAACCACAAGTCTTCTACCGAAGGGCAATGAAACCCGGCGGGGTATGCCACGACGTTCATATACCAATCTTTCTGGAAATACGGGGCCCGATTTCAACTTTAGACACACCCTAATGACGGGAAGCATTCGCCGGTCGCGACATCATAGCCGCGCCAACTCCCAGGCGATCCGTTTTAGTCGACGCGGCAGTATCGATGCGGAGCAGGCGGAAAGCTTGGCTGCTTCTGTCAAAGATGGCTTAACAGCTTCGTTTATGGATGAGCGGAGCTGGTATGACCAGTTCACCTCCACTGACTGGGTGCATGACAGTATCATAGACGGGGCTCGTCTTCGGGAGCTGCGCAAGCGCAAGGATATCCGCGGTCGTCTGCTGGCATGGCTTGATGGCTCCCAGGGCTGGGTCCTGGTCGCATTGATTGGCTGTATCACGGCCGCGATAGCTTATTCGGTAGACGTGACGGAGGAATTCATCTTTGACGTGAAGGAAGGCTTTTGTACTACACACTGGTTCCACAGCCGTCAGAGCTGCTGTACAGGAGGCTCGAATTGCCCGGCGTGGCGATCCTGGTCCCAGATCTACAATCCCTCAGGATCAGATAATTACTGGGTCAACTACAGCATGTTCATCTTCTGGGTGGTGCTTCTTTCTGTCATCTCGTGCCTCTTGACGCTGTTTACAAAGACCGTGGTTCCATCCTCGGTGTCGCTGACAACTTTGGATGAAAACCTCGGGGCGGCGTCGTCACGGAGTACAAAAGGAAACAATGCAAATAGTAATTCGCCCGGATCTGCTTCCAGCCAGCAGGCTCTTAGTTCCGCCATTCCCACGCGTCCTGCCATGGTTTACTATCCTGCGGCAGGTAGCGGAGTGGCTGAGGTCAAGGTCATTAACAGCGGCTTCGTTCTGCATGGATACCTTGGCTTCAAGACTCTCTTGATCAAAACCCTGGCGCTGGTTTTCAGCGTTTCGTCAGGCCTCAGCTTGGGCAAAGAAGGACCTTATGTGCACATCGCGACATGTGTGGGCAATATTTGCTGTCGCATTTTTGCCAAGTATAACCACAACGATGGCAAGAGACGCGAGGTTTTGAGCGCAAGTGCTGCAGGTGGTGTGGCGGTAGCATTCGGTGCCCCGATCGGTGGTGTCCTTTTCAGTTTAGAGGAAGTTAGCTACTATTTCCCTCCGAAGACTTTGTTCAGAACATTCTTCTGCTGCATCGCAGCAGCTCTCTCCTTGAAGTTCCTCAATCCTTACGGCACGGGCAAGATTGTCTTGTTCCAGGTCCGCTATCTGGGCGACTGGGAGATGTTCGAAATGGCAATCTTTATCCTCCTAGGTGTCCTTGGTGGAGCGCTAGGGGCTCTGTTCATCAAGGCCTCGAACCTCTGGGCGCGGTCTTTCCGGAGAATTTGGTTCATCAAACGTTGGCCAATGATCGAGGTCGTGCTTGTGGCTGTTTTGACCGGATTGGTTAGCTTTTGGAATCGTTACACCAAGCTGCCCGTCTCCGAGCTTATGTTTGAGTTGGCTAGCCCTTGTGATCACGAGTCCTCATCGCCGACTGGTCTGTGTCCGCCGGAGGAGGGGATCGGAGAAATTATTCGTTATTTGCTTGTTGCGTTTGTCATCAAGAGTCTTCTCACGGTGGTGACGTTCGGAATCAAGGTGCCGTGTGGTATCTACGTCCCTTCCATGGTTGTTGGTGGTCTTCTGGGCCGCATCGTTGGACATGCAGCACAGTACTTGGTACTGAAATATCCCACATCTTTTCTTTTTGGATCGTCGTGTCCCGCCACCGCCGGCATGGAATCCTGCGTGACGCCAGGAGTGTACGCCATGGTCGCAGCAGGTGCAACCATGTGTGGAGTGACACGCCTGTCTGTTACACTAGCTGTCATTCTCTTTGAGCTCACGGGAAGTTTGGACCACGTGCTGCCATTCTCCGTGGCTGTCTTGTGTGCCAAGTGGACTGCTGACGCTATCGAACCTCGCAGCATCTACGTAAGTGCGCGAATGCTTTGTGTAAAGATGTGGACTAATTTGAACAGGATATGTTGACCGATATGAATTCTTACCCGTTCCTTGACAGTAAGCATCAACCGACGTCGGATGCGCAGCTAGGAGATCTCGTTCGGCCGGTTCGCTCCAGTCGTATCATTGACATTTCGGGCTCGTCCTTTGTGCCGGCACGCGAGCTACGTTCGAAACTTCAGAACCTGTTGATGGCGGGCGAACTCGACGGTGGTCTTCCGATCTTGCGCCATGGTGTCCTTACCGGTTTAATCCCGGCTCCTGAGTTGGAGTACGCACTGGACAACCTCGCGGACGAGGAGAACACCCTCTGCCTGATGAGTCTCGACGGCTCTTCGGCTGTTTCCGACAGCGAAGATGAAGCCGAAACCGGCCGCGTCGACTTTGGACAATACATTGATCCGGTATGTAGCTCCATCCTTTTACTATGACAAATCTGACGTCTGCAGTCCCCCCTTGCCCTCGACATCCATTCGCCTATCGACCTCGTGTATCAATGCTTTGCCAAGCTTGGTCTGCGCTATCTGTGTGTGTCGCATGATGGCCAGTATGCCGGCTTAGTACATAAGAAAGCCTTTGTGAAGTATATGAAAGAGAATGAGTGATGTGATTATCAGCGTTCAGCGTTGCAGTGTTTCATTACGACATCGTTCAGCGATTATTGACAAGTATTTGACAGCTGCATCCAACAATGTGCATACTCCCTGTGCTTGTATATTAGCAAGGAGTTGGTTTGTTTGCCTCTGATTTGGGTTTTGATTTGTTATTTCAGCGAGAGCATGTGATTTGTACCAGCATTATTAGGGCGGCTAGTTGTTATCTAGACTGTACATATCTGCCGTATACATAGACTCTGCCAGAACTGTATCAACTTTACCATGATAGACATCCACGTACGCCCGCGCACATAGCTTCTACCTCAACTCTACCATTTACACCCGTTCATACCCCACCATCTGCACCCTAACATCCCCCTCCTCAATCCACCTCCCCGTAACCTCCTCCCCAACCCACTCCGTAACCTCCTCCGGCGTAACCCTCCTCCACCCCTCCTTCTCGCCAAACAACTCCTCATCCACCGGGAAAAACGTATCACACTCAAACACCTCCCCCCGATCTCCCTCCGCATACCCCTTCTTCTCCACATTCGTCATCACAATCCTCACCGGCCCTCCTTTCGCAGCCAAAACAGCCCCATATATCTCCGCCCCACCAATCACAAACACCTTGCCTAGTTTCCCTTCTCCATACCTCGTCTCCAGCTCCTGCAGCGCCTCATCCAATCCCCCGCACACGATCGCGTCTGTCGCTGGCTGCACAGCATTACCATTACCCCCAGATGTAGATGCAGCAGACGCAGACGCAGACGCAGCCAACTTAGCTTTCCGTTCCTCAACCTCCCTCGCCACCCGAGGTTTCAACCCCTCCACATCCCGGGTAATGACCGTGCTAATGCGCTTCGCCAGCGGACGCAGATGCGCCGGCACGGAATCGTACGTCTTCCGCCCCATTATTATTGCGTTGGTGGTTCCGGGCACTGGCGGGCGGGAGGTCACCCGGGCGAAGAATGACATGTCGGTTTTGATTCGTGGCCAGGGGAGTGTCCCGGAGTGGCCGATGCCGAGGCGGATTGGGGTGGTGCTGCTGCTGCTGCTCTCGGTGGTGCTGGTGGGGGTTGGGGTTGGGGTTGGGATGGGGGTGGTTGCGACGATGAGGGTTAGGGGGCGGGGTGTGGGAGGCATTTTGGTGGTTATTCTTTTGAGAAGAATTGTGGTGGTGGTGGTGATGGTGGTAGGTATGTGTTGTATGAGGCTGGTCGGTGGTAGTGAGGGAGGGAGGGACGCGGTGGGGGGGAAATTTGATAGGAAGGGAAGGGAAGGGAAGCTTTTATCAGACGGTTCGCGATCAATGATATTCCCCGCTGGGGTGGTGGTGGTAAACCACGTGCTTTTAGTTTAATTCTTCGACCAGATTACCACAGATATTTATGCAGGTTTAGTAGTAATAAATGGTTTATTTACAGCTTAATGATATTAATATATACAATTCTATCAACTGAAAACCCCAACGCCATCCCACCAACTCCATGCAATAACCAACCAACCAACCCGGTATACGCCATGCACACACAACACAACAAAATACAATATACCCAAAGCAAAGCTGCCGCTGCTTCTCACTTAGCAGCTTTCAAAAACCCCCCATCTTCAATACCCTTCTGAATCGCCTCCGCATTCATCTCTAATTCCTCGCGCCGCTTCACGTCCGCTTCGTCTTCGCCTAGTGTGTCGAGTTTCCCGAATAGCCATGTTTCTTTCATTGTACGGGTCAGGGCGAGGATGTCTTCTGCGGCGCGGACCTATCCCAGATTTATTCCATAAGTATATTTCACTTTAAGAGGGGTTTATTGGAACGTACCAATGCTGTGGATTCCACGTCTAGCTGGTATGTCTCGACGGCGGTGGAGGTGTGGCTGGTGCTTTCGGTCTGAAGTTTTCGGGTTAATGGTTATCGATTGTGTGGGTTGGAGGAAGACAGGTGAGCTAACAGTTGCTGTGGCCATGATGTTCTCGAATCGTTGGAGTAATTGCGAGATGTTGGTGTTGATGCGATCTGCGACGGATGATGGTTGTTAGCTGTGCGACGGAGGGGTGGACATTCAGAATCTGACTTACAGTGAAGCGCTTTCGATGACGGTTGAGAATCCATTTCTGAGGAGTTTAAGCTGGGACAGCGATTGGTTTCTGTTTGTGTGAAAAGATGGCATAGGATACTGTGATGGATGCTGCGGTGCAAGTAGATTGGGAGCGGTGTGGGTACTGCCGGCAGTACGGTGTCTATCAGGTTGATATGATAGGAGACTACTTAGGTACTAAACTATATTGGGCTATATGGATAATTGGTTTGATTGAGATGTGGGTATACACTATGAGAAGAAATATGATAGCGCCATGTGTTAGATCACCCATTCACTCTTTCGCTTGTCGTCGCGCTTTCTTCCTGTGCTGTATTGGGAAGCATATGCTTGTGCTGCTTCTCTATTCGCATGCTACCATGGAAGTTGTTTCTACCACGATGCTGGATCTGGTATGAGTGAGATCGAATGACAACTCTAGGATAGGACAATAGTCGTCGGGTTGACTGCTGTAAGGAGTGCGTGTGTTTCTCGGGCACGAGCTTAGCGGACGTATTTCGACTACACGAGTTAGTAGATTCATCGCTATTCCAGGCGTACAACTCACCATAAATCTCTTGTGGAAGTCCGATCGCAACAGATCCTGCATGCCAATTAGCACCATAACATAATACATAATACATACAAGGCAAGTCTTACGTTGACAAACTCCTTGCCCCTCCTATCTTCTGTACCACGGGCCTGGTTCTTGAACACAACATCGTCATCCCACCTACGCTTCACATTGAAGTCTTGGGGGTTAAGCAGCGGGTTGCCTCGTGCGATATCGACTTCGCGTTGCTCCTCTTCTTGTGCAGCACGCTCGCGTTCCTGACAGCTATCAGTAACTCATCCTAAATCCAAATCTCTGCACAAACCTCTTTCTCTTTCTGCTCGAGCCTCTCTTTCTTGATCTTCTCCAGCTCGCGCATCAATTCGGCAGCCTCGTCCTCTTCATCGTCACTGCATCCTGTCAGCACTATCGCGCGAACCTAGGATATCCGCAAGTCTGACCTTTCGTCCTCGCTGCTATCCTCTTCCGACTCATCAGAATCTGCATCTATGTCTCGAGTTTCCTCTAGTATTCGTCGTCGTTTGGCTTCTGGATCTTCTTCCTCTGTCTTTGCATCACCACCGGGTGAACCACCTTCCAACTGGCGCTTGGGCGTGGCGGTCTCGACTTTGGGCTCTTCCACGGGAACTCCGTTCTTCTTGGCGAAATGAGCAGCCTCCGCCTGGAGCAGCTCGGCGCGCAGATCGCGTTGCTGAGTTTCGACTTCACTACCCTGACCGAATTGACTTGGACATGTCAGTGATGGTCGCACACGTTTTGCAAACCACTTACCGTGTCTTCAGGTGTGTGTAAGCCGGGAGAAGACGTTGATGGTACGCAGGGCCGCGGAGGGCCTCCTTTCCTTGTGCCTGTTTCAATGAGCTTCATGCGCTGGGCAGATGATCGAGGTACATACGGGATCGAACGTGGGCCTGTGTGCTGCAAAGTAGTCAGTACAGAGCTTCTCAAATCCAATGAGTATATATACATACCCGTAGTCATGGTGGCGGTTGTTAGACTGTGTGTTGGTGGTAGTTGGCACTCCGACGAGGATGAGATCTGATAATGATCGCCGATATGCAACCTCAGGCCACAAGATGAGTCAGCTACCTCACCGCCCGCGAGCAATCTCTCTCATTGGCTCCAAGAGGAACAACATTGGCCCGCCGCCTCGATGACGATGCGGCATGCAGGAAATTTCCCAGAAAGTCCGCCGTGACCCCCGCCGGGGCCAAATCCGCCTCCGCAATCATGAATAAAGAAGCATTGCTCTCCGTCACTGAGCGCGACTTCATCCTCAATGCGCTGCGCGAGGATGTGCGACTGGACGGTCGCGGTTTCGACCAGCTGCGTCCGCTGAACGTGTCGTTCGGGGAGGAGTATGGACATGTGAAGGTGCAGCTCGGCAAAACCAGGTGAGTAGACTCATTGCAGCTTGCTTTAACAACGCTAATTGACTCTTCTTCCGCTGCAGCCTTATTGTCCGTATCTCTGCTGAAGTCACAAAACCTCACGATGATCGTCCGTTTGACGGTCTATTCACAATCGCCATGGAGCTAACTGCCATGGGCTCTCCCGCTTGGGACAATGGCCGGTATGAATTCCTCATCAGCCGCGAGTAAGCAATGTTCCAGCTAACTGTTTATTATTCAGACAAGGAGACTTTGAAACATATGTCACCAATGTCCTCGACCGTGTCGTTCGCCATTCCAACGCCCTGGACACCGAGTCCCTCTGTATCCTCAAGGGTGTCAGCTGCTGGAGCATCCGCGCGGACGTTCACGTTACAGACTACGATGGCAATCTGATTGATGCGGCTTGTATTGGTATTATGGCTGGACTGCAGCATTTCCGCCGTCAAGACGCTGTAGTCAAGGATGGCCAGGTGATCGTCTACGGGCTCGATGAGCGTGTTCCTGTCGCATTGAACATCACGCACAAGCCGCTTTCTGTCACTTTCCACACATTCGATGAAGGAAAACGGGTCATCATTGATGCAACTCGGAAGGAGGAGCAAGCAGCGGAAGCTGATGTCGTGATCGGTATCAACAATGCGGGTGATGTGTGCTTCGTCTCCAAGTTCTCTGGTTCTCCAGTGGATGCGATGGTCTTCGTGGATAAGACGTCTGTTGCTTTGGAAAAGGTCAAGGAGATCAATGCAACCATCGATAAGGCGTTACAAGCTGATCTTTCGAAACGAGCGAAGATCGGTATGGCCGAGGAGTCGCGGGCGGAAAATGATCGGTAATTGGGCTTGAGCTTCAGGGAAGCGAATACCATTAATGAGTTAAGACACTGCATTAGAATCAAAATTATGCCATACAATTCGGCAAACGTCTGACAAAATCACACCGGTAAATGAGCATGAGTCTCCTTGTAGATTTGTTCCACTACAAAAATTCTGTACTTCTCACATAATAGATCACATAATTATTCCACTGTTTACATTGATCATCTGATCCAATTATAAACTTACTCATACACAACTCTGATAAGCTACTCGCTGACATCTCCAGGCTATGCAAGGGGTCATAGTGTTGCCTTATACCCGTGGTATGTTCGACCCTTCAGCCTCCACATAGTAAGTATATATTTCTTACCAATTCTTCTTCCGTGCGAAGCAAGTATGCTCCAGTTCCTCATGCGGCCACTCTGCTCTTCGCAAAAGTCGGAAGAGGAATCCGGTTGCTTTTGCAGTGCCTGAAGCTTGGCTTCAAATGTTGAGACATTTGTCGCTCCGTCTGCTCCAAGTAGCCAGTGATATATCGTTTCGACCTACTTGGCAGAACCGCTATTCCAACACCATATCTCTCCTTCACCTCCACACCATCTTCTTTACTGACTGAATGTGCCTTGATCTTCTCCCATTCTACCTCCTTCTTGCTCGGGCAGCTGCTCTATGCAATGATACTGAGGGCGATGTCTTTTGCAGCTGTAACCTGAGGCAACTTGCCTCATAGGTAGATGGCATTGCCCACATGGAAGTGAGCTTCCACTCTGTCAATATCGACTGGAAAGAAGGGCGGTACGTCGGCTAATCTCTTCATAGGGGCCTTGCAACACTGGGGGCCCCGGAGGCTCTCTGATTGAGCCCGTCAATCTTGCCCGTATAGAAGTGTGGCATGAATAGGGTTTGCCAAACTATCACTCTCAGTTTCGACTTTTTGTTAAGACTTCTGGCCTTTGTCTTCTTTTCTTTCCCCTTCATAGTATTGCAAGATTGACGGGTTCAATCAGAAAGCCCCAGTGTCGCATGGCCCCTATGAGCTCTTTGAAGAGATTGGCCGACGTACTAGAGCTTTCTAGGCTCCAGTTCACCTCTTCTCTTCGACATGGCGGAAGTCTTTAGAGAAGTTCGGCTAGTTTGACTAGGACTGTAAGGTCCAGTTCACCAGAGGTCGCGGTCAGGATCAACCAGAGAAAGGGAGAAGATCTCGACTCTCTAATGACAGTACTCAGACTGTATGATGCTTGAGACCCCCGAAGCTGCTTCCTTCTTCCTTCTTGCACTATCCCGGCGTAAAATCCATATATTGGTTTAGAAAACCGCCATCGTACCGTGGAAACAACTTTTGGTGTCTGGATTATGAGATTTGGCTTGGGAGATACAATGTTTGAGTGTTCTTCCGCGATAACCTCCACGTTCTCTTGCCGGTTGTGGTATATGTAGAAGCCGAGCAGTGTGCTGGGAGTGCCTCTATTGGATGATGAAGCAGTTAGAATGTGCTTGAGGTTTGTCCAGTATATTAACTTTGGAAGGTTCTTACTTTCCCCCAGAAGCACAGATTTTCTGTACTTGGCTTATCCATATCAATACCACCATCCCATAACGATCCTACAGTGATGTAGGCAGGGACCATATTCAACGCAGTGGTTGATATATGCTTTGTGGATTCAATGTATGCTAGCATTCATTGGGGTCGGGGCCTATCCTGGGCTCCAGATGACTCAAAGTCTATGCCTGAAGGAAGTTTGTGAGGAGCAGTTAGACATGGTTTCAGAACTTATCGTGTAGAGTGCTTTTGGAAGCTTCTTACTTTTTGTAGCCCAGTAGCGTTCATTCCTGGGCTCCAGACGACTCGAAGTCGATGCGTGTTGGAAGTCGATGAGAACGACGTGAAGATGTTGACAACATGCCGGTAGGAAGTTGATGGGTTTGGTGGAAGGAAAGAGCAAACGTCGACGCGCTGACCGCGAGACAAAAACGATATACCGCATCTATCTGATCAGCTGATGGAGAGATATGTCCCAACAGAAGATATAAGTGGATAAGAATGGCAATAGTGTTTCGACTGAGCACTAACAGAGCTTTTGTAGTTGTAAACTGTTCTTGTTTTGGGCTGTCTGTGTATAACAGAAAAAGGATAGTTGCATACATTAGTGTATGCCTTGCCTTCTCGTATTCACTTGGTGGATTGCCATTGCATTGTTTGCTGCAATTATCCTTGAGGTCTTTTGTCATAATAGGGCTAGTAAAGGACTAGCAATGAGGAATCTTCTGCAGTAGCTTCTGCAATGGCTGAACAACAAATAGTAAACCATTATAAGTAGGAGAATCCTGGGGCATCTACATTGACAGGCTAGTACATCTGCCGCAATTGAAGAAACTACTACTACACAAATGGCCATATTCTCCTTTTACTTTTATTGCAATTCTGCGGGTTCTTTGGCGGCTCGCCTAAAGAATTAGAGATTTATCTTATTGTATAAATTCCTTCTTACTCAGCCATATACAATTCTGGTAAGCTACGCAAGGGGTCAAGCTGTTGCCTAATGATATAGGCAGCTGCAGGCACCCTTCTCCTACATGAAATCACATTCTTGGCAGTAACATGCTTATATCTACAATATAAGGAATTAATTCGCACCCCACCTCACATTCCTGAGTCTCGTTCTTCAAGGTGTCATCGTTTTCATCTTGTTTCAGGTGTTTGAAGTCTTACCTTGAAATAATCACGGGATCTTCGCTGAAGTGGCTATACACAATCTAAAGAAAAGATTTGGCTCGTTGCACTTTCCAGGTGATCATAAAGGTAGCTAACCAGTTTCTTGATCGAGGATGAGCAATACGCAAGGTCAGTCGTGGACAGAGACATTCTTCACTGACTGGCCTCTACCAGATTGGATCAATGCAGGCCATGAAGATAAGCAAGATGTCAGAATTTTTAATCCGCAGAATAAATGGATGCTGGGAAGATCCGCAGATACCGGACGATACTCTGTGTTTGGCAGAATACAAGTTCTGTGGCTTCATGTCCGACGTGGAGGGATATTCCACCGCCAGCATGTGGCTAAGATTGTGAGTACATCAGGGAGTGGGGAAACTTCAACAGAAAGTCTAATGTTAAACAAACTGAAGTTCCCAGAGTACACTGAACATGATGCGGAAATGCAGCTTAGACGCCGGCCCCCACGTTTCCCTAAGACGGCCAAGGAGCTTAGGGATGAACTTGATTGGTTTACCAATGAACTTAAAGTGTTCAGTCGCATTGACGCGTCATGTACAAGCTCTCAAAGGATCTACTTCCCTGGATTTCATGGTGTCATTGCCGATCTCGAGAAGTGTCTTGGCAGCCCCTATGCTAAACATCGAGCAATTGCCCTAGAATGTATCAGGCCAAAACTTTCAGCACGACGAATCCTAGCAGCATGCGACGAACATAGTCATGGGAATGAGTTCAGGGATAAGCTGAGAGGTCTAGGTTCCCTGAGTGATTTCGAAGTGGAATACTATGACTCCCTCTTCACTGACCGTGTTCGCCGACTTCTGACGTTGCACCGCCTTGGAATCACCCATGGGGATATTAAAGATGAGCACTTCAGACTTCCGATGGATTTTTTTTGATACAGTTCTATATGACTTTTCCCACTCATACACCTTTTCACCGGTCAAGCCCTACTCAATTAAGCGTGGCCAACCGCGTCCATTAAAGAATATATCATGGGGCGAACAGACCGAGGTCGAATCGCTGGTATTTGAACGGTAGGTTGTCAGGGCGGCTCATTGACAGGATGCTGAGCTACGTTTTGATCAGGGCAGAAAAGCTAGACCTTCGTGAATATCTCGTTAAAATCACCGAGGCCACTCAGTCAGTGATCATGGATGCTCTATTTCAACCTCTCCAAGAGGAAACGTTGGAACTACTAATCCTGAAAGTTAGATTCCGACCTGATGGTTAGTTCAACCGCAACCCTTTCCCGGAAATGCGCAGATCCTTGAATGTGAACCTAATTGTCTCCACAGCCTTCTCCATGCCGTCGGTAAATTCGGTCTTCCCTTTTCTAGAGGGTATCCGTCCAGATGGGGACATCACCTGGCATATACGTCGAGCTCGAATAGTAGAAGCCTATACATCGATTTGGTTAATCTCCAGGAAAGACAGATCAGGGAAAACCGCAATAGAGTTCCTTACCGAACAAAGTCATCCGAAAGACAGTGAAGAGGAAAGAATGAAGTACTTGCTTTGTCTGATACCTACGACATGGGAGGCGGAGCATATCCACAGCCAAATTATCAAAGTCTGCTCGTCTTTGTCATCTGTTGATAATGGCTGCATCAAGTCTTGCGATGATCTTATGCAACATGCATGATCATCAACATCCCTTCATACTCCAATTTATGAGGTCCCTTCTACTCAGCAAAGTACTTTCCAGGACTAATGAATATACTGAAAATGTTTATCTCGGCACTTACTTGTCTGTCGCCCTCAAGACTATTATATCTAATTCAAAGATCAGATTATGTAGACACCGTAGTGCTATATGGTCTTATTAGTCACTATGAACAGTCAAAGCTCACGCGCTACAGTGTCATTCAATTGGCACAATCCTTGAGCAGCCCAGGCTTGTCTTCTTAAAATCCATGCAAAGGGAGATCATCGATGACATTGTCCTAGGTAAGGATGTTCTCTACAGCAAACAACATCATGCTACTTCATACGATGTCAAATCCTTGCAATTGTTATCCTCAGTTCTAGCGGTATACCAGTTTGTCTTTCCAGAAAACAGCGGGAGGGTATGCTCTGATTTAAGAAAGCTCGCTTACACCCCGTTTGATTGAGAGTAAGTGCTTTCAATCAGGTCAACAGCCTTCTCCGCAATCGCATATACCGTGCCGAGCACAGCATGACTGACCTGGGCCGGCATAATACTTGCATCGACCACGCGCAGACCCCGAGTACCCTTGACACATAATTTCTCATCTACTACTGACCCCAAAGCACATGTCCCAAGTGCATGATGATAGCTCATCAGCCGATCCCGGACATATTCTCGCGCCTGCTCTACATCCTGCAAATTGACCTCAGGTGGCGGCTGCACCCGGGCCAAGACCTGCCCCTTCATGCGGGGAGATTGGAAGATGTTATCCGCGACCGTGACAGCCGTCGCAAGGACGTCCACATCGGCGGGATTCTTCAGGAATCCAAGGTCCACTCTTGGTGCGGCCGCTGGGTCCCGAGACTGCGCGTGGGAGCTTCCCTGGGAGACAGGATACATGGAGCTGACCATAAGCGAGTAGCATGCGTTCCGGCCTGGGGGAGGGCCGGGGCTAAGTTTGCTGCAATCGGCATACACTCGATCGATAGCAAATGCTGATGGGAATCCCACCAGTTGGATATCCGCTGACCGGGGGCTCAATAAATGCGCGGCAATGCGTTGGCGCTGTCGGTGCTGGATTGTCACTAGTTCGGCATTGTCGGTGGCATCATTACTATGATGCTGCAGCACGTTGAGGATGGTTTCGTTGAGCCGCTCAGCTGAGACCTGGGGTCCGTAAGGAATGAACCCCATCAGGCTGACCGGGCCGGAAAGTGCCCCGGACTGCTCTTCCTGCAGCAGTCGCAGATGCTGCTTTAGCAAGCTTTCGTCACGAAGGATGGAATCTATGGACAGAACTCCGTCTGCTAATTCGTACACCACCGCGGACACGGGATGTTCTTGGAGATTTGTCCCGACACCTGGAAGAGGAACCCGGCATGGAACGCCCAGAGAGGCGAGATGTCCAGGGTCTCCGATACCTGACAGCTCCAGCAGCTTGGGACTTTCGAAAGTACCGGCTGATAGAATAACCTCGCGTGCGACGCTGACCTGATAGTTTTTCCCCTCATGAACAAATTCAATCCCACGAGCACACTGCTCGTCATCAAGAAGTATCCTGGTGACTGCCGCATTGGTCAGGATGTGGAGATTTGGTCTACTCAGCACTGGCCATAGATACCCATTGGCCGCGTAACTGCGATGTGGAAGGCCAGCGCTTCGATCAATAGTAAAGAGGCAGCGATGGAAGCCCAAGTGCTCTCCATTCCATGGCTCTTGTGGCCGAGACAGTCCCGACGTTTCGTCCATTGCGGCTAGCAGCGGTGTCTCAATAGGGGCCTGCCAGGGGCCTAGCGAAGTGTGAATCGGGCCTTGCGTGCCATGAGCCTCGTCCTGCACGGGACAGAGTTCCGATGCAGTGCCGGTCAATCCAGCCGACTCGAGCTGTTCGCTCTTTCGATAATACGGAGCTAGTCCTGCCCATGACCATTCGCTATTTCCCGCTATGGTGCCCCAGTCATCGAGATCGGCCGCGGAAGGTCTCCCATATGCCATGAAGTTAATGGCGCTCGATCCTCCGAGCACTTTACCTCGGGGAATGTGATGGGATCGATTTTGGTTCTGCGCCTAGGAGCCTTTAGCCTGCTCCGAAGCGTAGAGGGTCGGAAAGACCTACCTGCGGCGTGCTTTGGTAAATCCAGTCATACTTGGGATTATGTAGCATGGCCGAAACCTTTCCCGGATTGGTGATATTTGGGTCATCAAATCCTGCATCTCCTGCCTCAATGACGCCTACTTTCACATCGGGGTTTGCAGACAACCGTGATGCGACAACCAAACCAGCAGTCCCACCACCGATGATGAGGTAGTCGAAGGTTTGTGCGAGGAAATCCTCGAGCGAAGAGGTGAGGCCTACCGAGGACATTCTGCTGGTATTTTCTTGAATCTACTAGCTCTTGGCAAGGAAGCAATTCCTGGGGGCAAGTTGGCGGAATTATAAGTAAGCTGTCAGACTATAATCTCACGTAAGACGACCACGTTTAGCTTGTCTTTCGATGGTATGATGCTGTGGATTCTAATGTAACGATCTATTTGGAACTAACAGATAGTCATCAACTTGCATTCACTGTATTCCCCATACACGCTGGCAATCGTTGTACCCCCGCATAGTCCCAGAACCCAATTACACTCATGCATGCCTCTTAGGTAAAGAGTCACTGTACTATCCAGAGAAGCAAAACATACAAACCATCAATAAGAAACAAGCCTTGATTGGATTTTTAACATACGCTAGTAATGTCATACCGTTGATCACCGTGCAACGCTAACCTCTTCCAGCTAGCTTTGCGCGGTCTCCATATCATCTGCCAAGCACGCAGAGAATCTATGCAACCACCTAGCTACCAGTGTATATAAGAAGGATTGAAGATGTCCACCTTTCATCTACTCTTGTGTTTCTTCATTTCCACCATCACGCTCTTGCAGGTTTTAGAGCTCCATAATGTGGACATCATTCGTGATTCCTATCTTTGGTCGATGCCCTGAGTAATTGCCCTATGGAGAGAGGGTGCAGCTCTCGGTCTGGTACGTTCAATTTCTACAAGTACTCACTCCTAGTATATTAACAGTTTATTGAGGCACCCGGTTCACTGGTTGTTGGATTAGCTGTCGAAAGAATAGGGATCCGTCAGTCTGAAATGAGCACAAGGGCAATTGCCTTCTACACTCCTGATCCCGCCATTCTATTTCTCCACTTTCTCTACTCGTCTTAAATACGCAATCTACTACTCATTTTTCGAGACATTCTCGTTTGTCTATCGAGACATATTAGACGAGCAGGGTCTCGTCTTCCTCGCAATGCTGTGCCATCTGTGTCACCGTGGGTAGGAGAGTGAAATTTGGCTGATTTGCCTTTATAAAAGGCTAGAAAGATTTTTTATACAGACATACTAAGTACTTAGGCTACATAGTTTTGATAATTAAAGAAAATTTGTGTATGAATTTGCTCACCTGCCTATTTATGTCTACCTTCTTTTATCCACACAACGCCGGGTGGACTCAAGAACTGAGGAAGGTCCGTGCAGACAAAGCTAAATATCCAAGCTTCTATTCATATGAATCTGAAACAATTAACCCACAATTTAATATCCCGTCCAGCGCCAAGACGCGCTGCTGAATTTAAAGCCAGATAGCGTCGGCAAGTTGAGGAACTAAGAGAAAATGGGGATAACAGCTTGGAGTAGGCCTATGGTCTAGACCTTTGGAGTGGAGGCTTTGAAGATGGGATGATATCTCCTATCTAACAGTTCTCAAAGCGCTTGCAGGGAGCCACTCTTTGTGCACGCGTTAATCCTAGTACCGATATAACAATTTTCTTTCCGACCATCAAGCCTCTCTATATTCATGGTTTTACAGCATCTACATTCAATGGAATGACTTATATTCAATATGATACACCATTTCGAGCAATCTTCGGACGGCCGTAGCAGAATTAATTGACTATCTGGGCATTACTTGATTCAACTGTATAAACATCTGGCAAAGTGAAGATACGTAGAGCTCAATACGCTATGCACTTCTACCCTCCACTGCGTGAATACTGGTTATCTCATATAAATTCTACTTCCTCTCTAATCTTTCTGATTCTTTCCGAATATAGTTTATATCTCATATAAATTGCTGTACTGGAGAATTGCAGCCAGCTACTGCATACCGCAGGCATCTCTGTTCAAGCGACAAAGGAAGTCCACGGGATACTAATTCATACATTACTAACAATGTGTTAATTCAAACATCCAAGAATGAACGTACAATAGAATGCAGAATTGGGACCATGTTTTCCACCTTTACAGTGCTCTCTTTTGATCTGGAATCATACTGAGGGACGCCCAGCGTATGTTTCTACAATTTGAAAGAAAATCTCGGAACCTCGACACCCTTCGTGGCACAGGAGGAACCCCTCACAAGCATGGCCGCGTTTCTTGATTCCTGACATATAAACTTCAAGAGAGAATCCAATAACGAAGCCTACGTTGACTTCAACGGCGATGTTCTTCGTGCCGTGAACAAGTGCGTGGTGCATCTGGGCAAGGCCTTTGCGCAAATGGTGGCTACACACCGCCGATACCATGGCTCGTCGTCGGCACAGAAATCTGTATGTGAGGATAGGATCGTTCATTGATCGATACACTGACGTTTCACTAGCGGCACACGGCCAACTATGAAGCGTTCCCAATAAATTTGTGCCCCTAAAAGCCGAGCAATATATGGATGAACGATGCTGTGCATGGTGTGCTTACAGACAATTATATGTTCATGTTCGGGTGCAGGGGCCATCGCAGCACGCGTGGGAAAGGCGTTGATAACTACGAGAGAATCTTACTGATACAATTTCCAGCAAATAACACAATGTTACTTTCAGGAGGGAGGTGAAAGTGCTCGAGATACTATAGTATCCCTTCTGGCCCACGGCCCACATTATGAGGAACCTGTGTAGCCGGGGGGCGAGGTTGGAGAACTTACAGTTCAAGAACTGTCATCAGAGCAACTTGAGGGGATCAAGAGACAACTGGTGGTAATAGTCATATTACACAGAGATAAAAGAACGCTTACATCGCGGACTTCTCATTCCTGGTTCAAAGAAGCTGCAAATAAGTTCTGCAGCCTTACCATACCAGAAACGAGTCAATGCGGCGATGATTGGTCAGACTTTACACAGATATATCCTATGTGGATGGGTTTCAAAAAAGCAATCCTTTTAAACCATGCAATGTTGTATCTTGACTAACATACGTGTCAATCGCCCAAGCCAGATTAAGGAAAGAGAGCAAAACGATACGGTCTTCTGGTGACCTGTTACCCCCCACCCCCCCGTTTTCCGTCTGCATGCGCAGTAAGGGCTATGGAAGAAAAAGTCTCAGCGCTAATGATCAGAAAGAAATCTTCTTGGAGGGGGGAAGAAATGCTTGAACCACCCTCATTTCTCTTTTAGCCCTTTGCATGTGCATCGGTCTCTCCGAAGAATACGATATCGTGATGACGGGATAGAAGACAATTACACATTGGTATAAAGCTCAACCTTATATATCAGTGATATGATTGGGGGCCAAAAAGTGGAAGAGTGTATTAGCATCTATTCATACTATTTAGACGCATATAGGGTTCATGATCTGGTCATGTGGCTTTATACAATGATGTTACTTAGAATGAAAAATTGCATCTACAAAGTATGCTATAACTATTTTGTAGTGTCAGGTCCAGTCGTAGATGTCTAGCTTCTATTACTATTTTCTGAATCAAAGGGAAATACCAAGTACTAATATGCTAGCTTATCGTGGCTATCAACAACTATATTGTATTGCGTCACGCAATCAGCTAGCGTGGCTACGTACGATCATACTTATTATTGCTGGGCTTGAGTTACTAGCTCTATCACTGCAATACAAAATGGACGAAGCATTAGCATGGATTTATGCTAGTTAACACAGCGTTGGGGGCCTAACCATTAGTTTTGTCGATCAGATGACAGAGCATCGGCTGCAAACAGACATGCCAGCATGTCCGCACCCACGGCTCACTCTACGTTTATTTATTACCCTCTACACTTAATAACAGGTGGCCCACCCTGCTTCAATGTCAACTGAAACATATTCATGCACTTTAACAGCCAGAAATAGCTTATGAGCACAATGCAACTATTTCCATCTGTTGTCTCGTTGGCAGACATGCGGGCTGTGTTGGAATCGGATCTGCTCAGTCTCGCTGCTTCTGCCGCGGGGTTTGGGCTGCTCTCGCACGTCAGTCTCTTTCGCACCAGTTTCCCGGTCGAAGACTATCTCTTCGTACTATTTTCAATCTATGCGGTCGCGGTGCTATCGATAGCATATGCGTACATAGCCTTGACGCAATTTTCGGTCGCTCAGGCTCTTCTTAGAGTGGTACTCATCGCATCCGCGTTCAACACGGGTCTTATCTCCAGTATTGGCATCTATCGATTATTCTTCCATCGCCTGCATCACTTTCCAGGTCCAGTGGGTGCCAAGTTATCTCGCTTCTATAATGCCTACTTGGCAGGCAAAGATCTCCAATACAATGTGGAGATCGCAAGACTTCATCACGAATATGGCGACTTTGTTCGAACCGGTAATCCTATGCTAGTTACTTATCCATCTTCTCGTCCAGGTTGTAATGTATTCCGCGTTTATAGGTCCACGTGAGGTCTGCATTGCGCGAAAGTCCGCCATACCTTTGCTCTTTGGGCCACAGTCCAAATGCAGCAAGTCACCATGGTATGCCCATATCTCAACAAACCCCAAGTACTGCTCTGTGCACCACACTCGTGATCATGATGACCACAGAATGCGGAGAAAGGCGTGGGACCGGGGCTTTAACGTAAAATGTATGTTAGCTTGATAAAGCTCTCTCTATCATCTCCATTAACCCAATGACTGATCCCATCATCTCGTTAAGCTCTCGGAATATATGAGCCCCGGGTCAAAAGCAAGGCTGATCTACTTGCCGCCCATGTAGCAAAGAACCTGGGCCAACCTATCGATGTGACGGCTTGGACAATGTTTCTTAGCTTTGATATAATGGGAGACGTCGGGTTTGGCAAAGATTTCCATAACCTGACCACCGGTGTGGAACATCCAGCGATCAAAGGAGTCCATGACCATATGGCCGCCGGTGCTACTCTATTGCAGGTCCCGTGGTTCCTCTACATACTCTGCCGTATCCCTGGTGCCGTTTCTAGCTACAGAAGCTTTTTCAAGTGGTGTGCTGATGAAATTGAAAGGAAGCAGAAGGTATGCAATTCTCATCGTGAAAACCTAATGGTGAGATCTAATGATTGTGTTGTATAATGCTATCCTACAGACTTGGGATGCAAACTCCTATCCCGAAGATGTCGTTTCATGGCTTCTCAAAGCATACGTGGAGAAAAGTGCTTCTGCTGCTCCTTCTCGCCTGGCACTGAATGAAGACTCACGGGCAGTCATTATTGCGGGGAGTGAGACCACAGCCACCACCTTGGCGACCGTCCTGTACTATTTGGCTAGGCATCAATCTGTGCTGGCCAAGCTCCAGCGGAAACTGGACGAGGCTATGCCGGGCGGAGCAGATGACTGGAGTTATAATAAGGTCAAGGATATCTCGTTTATTGATGACATTATCAATGAAACCCTTCGTCTGCGCCCTGCTGTAATGACAGGGGGTTATCGTGTCACGCCAGCCGAAGGACTTCAGGTCGATGAAGTCCATATTCCAGGAGACACCATTGTTTTCGTTCCTGTCCAGCTAATTCAGACTGACGAAAGGTACTACGAGGAGGCTAAGGAATTCATTCCAGAGCGATGGAGTGAGAAAAGACACGAGATGAAGACCGATGGTGCCCCCTTCATTCCTTTCCTGACAGGTAAGCGATGGTTTCCCTTGTGGTTACCCAGGTTGACATTTGAAGCAGGCCCTTATATCTGTCCCGGGAAGAACCTGGCCATGATTAGTCTGCGGACCAGCATATCGACCATAGCCCAGCAGTACAACTTCTCGTTTGCGCCTGGCGAGACGGGAGAGGCTTTTGAAACGGGAGCACTGGATACTTTTACTACGTGTCTGCCTCCTTTACAGCTTGCATTCCAACGTCGTTAGATGTAATTATCACAAATTGTTGCGGCATCCGTGTCTTATTGGGTTCTTTAGCAAATTAACATGCCTTTTAGCAATACGCACAATCTTCGCACATCAAAGCAGCTATAAGCTATATTCAATACAGATAAGTTCATGGCGGCGGATGCTCTAGGCAACATAAGCTCCAAGCTCGTTTCCTAGCCATAGCTCTAGGTCACTATTTAAAGACCCGTGACAATAAGGCTCTCCAGTAACTTCCTGTATTTCATGACAATATATCACAAATGCGCAGGTTGGCAGATGACAGGAAGTTACGCGTGCACGCACATACCCCAATATTTTTTTGTACTGATTAATGAGGTCGCACTCATAAAACGAGCGAAGTTCTCGCCCAGGAATTAGGGATAGCCTCGAGATCTCCGAGTATAGATACCCCAGCCTCGTAAATTTGTCTTCCTCCTTGAACCAAAACGCTGAGACTCGTGGAGCCCTGTAAGTCTCGTATTCAACAACTGCCATTAACGAAACTGGCGGCTGCCGGAGTAGCATTTGTCTCCAGCTTGCTTCTGCTCGGAGGAACACATTCTCTCTCTGTGGATCAAGTGGAGGTAGATTGAAATTAACAGACGAAGTGGACACTCTTTTTCGCCAGAATTCGTGCCATATATAGGAAAGCAGTGGGTTATCCTCGACCATTTCCCTTGCGCTTAACTCGGTCGGGAACGGTTCGGCCGCTGGTTTGAAGAACAGTAAGGTCTGGAGAGAGCTGGAGTCTTTGATGAGGGTGTTCCATGCACGACAGACTCTTTGAGCAGATACGAGCAAAGTGCGCATATCCAGCTGTAGAAGAATCATCTCTAAAAGTTCAGGGATGCAGATGTTCTGGGCCGCCATACTTGCGCTTTCCGTTCGAGGAGTAACTGGGGTAGATTGTCCGGTAGTCGCCATATCCTGTGGAATGTAAATACGAAGTGGAAAGATTTAGTAGAAGCAAAAGCTGGTAGGTAGTCATTTCCTCCTAGTTGCGTGTCTGAACTCATATCGATGGGCTCATGATAAGGTACATATGATGATATTGTAACCAGGTAGAGAACTACCATGGAATGCTAAGCATGAGGCTGAAAAGCACTATATGGATGTGTTCATCCGTAACAAGTATAGAGGAACCATAGTGATGATCACGTTAGAGACCAAAAACAACATCTAGTCTAATAATAGGCATGCGCTGCTTACCGGGATCGTGGCGCAGCTTTGGATGCTCATGTTGTGGGTACTTGCGAGCTGCTAAACTGACTTGCAGATGAGCCAAGCCATGAGAACATGTGACATGAATGTCAGATTCTCTGCATATTGTGCATAGTAGCAAGGATATCTCCTTATTAAAAAATCCATGCAATCAAGCACTTGATTTTGTAGATGGAGACCATTTGACGCCTCAGGTGTCATAACGATGTAACGGTATTACGATAATACATCATGCCACCATTCCCAATTCGGGAATCACTAACCCGATCTGGTAGCCCCGTGACAGGCCATTTCTCTTGGATGGAACTGAACAACAACCAACTGCCGAGAGGAAGCTCTCTTTTCCAATGGTGGACATGGACGGCTCTTTTGGTTGATCTCGCTATATTAATCTGAAACTGTTTCAGAGGGTGAGCACCAGCTAGACTAGCTCTCATTTCATTCTGGCGCGGGCAAACCCACCCTGTCTTAACGGGGTATGGATCGGACAAGACAAAGAATCGTGTCGGCCCAGCCACTGGCGGTGATCCAACGCTAACTCTGATTAGCCTCGACGCCTTTGCGCGGCATCTGGCTTAACCTCCAGGCAGTCAGAATTTCTCCTCACCACCCCCCATCCCCAGCTTTCGCACCTTCCTCGCCGCTTACTATCGAATCTCGAGTAGTCCGCTTGATACCTCCTCGTGCTCCGACCGCGTTGCAAGTCCACTGTCTTCGGTGATCCTCTCTCCCGTCTCGTCCCGGCCAATCAATGCTCCAGGGGCACCTGTTTGTCCGCCCCCAGCGTCATGGCCAGCGGTAGGCCCCCCGGCCCTCATCCAGCCGCTGGCCACAATGATGAACTGCTGCTGGATGAGTCGGCTCCCATGTACAATTCGGGACAACGCCCACCGGTCAACGATGACCACTTGTTGCGACAATACGACATTGACGACTCCGAAACTCCTCACCCGCGTCCCTCGGTTTCCTACGACCAGTTCGTCGGCGGACAGGTGCCGCCGCAGTCCAGTGCTCATGCAATGCCCGCGCATCCCCCGACCCAAGCGGGGGTATACATGACCGATCCTTACTCCGGTGCCGACATGTCCCGCACCTACTCGCAAACCTCCGGGTTAAGCAACTACCACCGCTACTCCCTCGACGAGTTCGACGATGACCGGTCGATGCACGGATACTACGATCTCGACTACCAAGATGATAACCATTTACAACCCGACAGCCGCGTTCGGCAGGCAAAGGAAAGGAACAGCATACTGGGTCTGGGAGGCGGGTTGATGGGCCGAGCGAAGCACATGCTGGGCATGGGTGCTGAGTACTCGGAGATGGATCTGCCCCTGACGGAATCTGGAGCCAGAGCTGCGCGGGTGGACAGTGCGGACCCGGACGAAGGCGGCGCGGCCAGGGCTCCCAAAGCAAAGAAGAAGTCGGATTTCAAGTTTGGTTTTGGCCGCAGAAAGGTCGACCCGTCTACGCTGGGTCCTCGCATGATCGTTCTGAACAATCCGCCTGCCAATGCCACGCACAAATACGTCGACAACCACGTTTCAACGGCCAAGTACAATGTCATTACCTTTATCCCGAAGTTCCTCTACGAACAATTCTCGAAATACGCCAACCTTTTCTTCCTCTTCACCGCCGTTCTCCAGCAGATTCCGAACGTGTCTCCGACGAACAGATATACTACGATTGCCCCGCTGTGTATTGTGTTAGCGGTATCGGCCATCAAGGAATTAGTTGAGGACTACAAGCGCAGGATGTCTGACAAAGGATTGAACAATTCGAAAACGCAGGTTCTGAAGGGGTCACAGTTCCATGAGACCAAGTGGATCGATGTGGCTGTGGGAGATATTGTCCGGGTCGAGTCCGAACAACCATTCCCGGCTGATTTGGTTCTACTGGCGTCCTCGGAACCGGAGGGCCTGTGTTATATCGAGACCGCTAATCTGGACGGGGAAACGAACTTGAAGATTAAGCAGGCAATTCCGGAAACCGCGCATTTGGTCAGCCCCGCGGATCTCAGTCGCTTAAGTGGACGGGTCCGGTCCGAGCAGCCAAACAGCAGCCTGTACACCTACGAAGCAACTCTGACAATGCACGCCGGTGGAGGTGAAAAGGAATTGCCATTGGCGCCGGACCAGCTTCTCCTTCGAGGCGCCACCCTCAGGAACACTCCGTGGGTCCATGGCATTGTCGTTTTCACGGGTCACGAATCGAAGCTGATGCGGAACGCGACAGCAACTCCGATCAAGCGAACTGCAGTGGAACGCATGGTGAATGTTCAAATTCTCATGTTGGTTGGCATTCTGGTTTCACTCAGTGTCATCAGTTCCGTTGGTGATTTAATTGTTCGCCAAACTGAGGCAAGTAAGCTCACGTATCTGGATTATGGCTCCACCAATCCGGTCAAACAATTCGTTCTTGATATCTTTACCTATTGGGTTCTCTATTCGAACCTTGTCCCTATCTCGCTTTTCGTGACGATTGAAATCGTCAAGTATGCTCAAGCCTTCTTGATCAACTCCGATCTTGATATCTATTACGATAAGACAGATACACCGGCAACGTGCAGGACATCCTCTTTGGTTGAAGAATTGGGCCAGATAGAGTACATCTTCTCCGATAAAACTGGTACACTTACCTGCAACATGATGGAGTTCAAGCAATGCACGATCGCGGGCATCCAGTACGGTGACGACATTCCCGAGGACCGGCAAGCCACCGTCGAGGACGGAATGGAGGTCGGAGTCCATAGTTTCAAGAAGTTGAGGGAGAACCTGCGCTCTCACCCTTCGAAAGATGCTATACATCATTTCCTCACTCTGCTCGCTACTTGTCACACGGTCATTCCGGAGAGATCTGAGAAAGAGCCAGGGAAGATCAAATATCAAGCCGCATCTCCTGATGAAGGTGCACTTGTCGAAGGTGCTGCAACCCTAGGCTATGCCTTCTCCAATCGTAAGCCCCGGTCAGTGATTTTCACCTTTGACAACCAGGATTACGAATATGAACTATTGGCGGTCTGCGAATTCAACTCTACGAGAAAGCGCATGTCGACAATCTTTCGCTGCCCTGATGGAAAAATCCGCATCTATACTAAGGGTGCGGATACTGTCATCCTTGAACGCCTGCACCCAGACAACCCAATGGTTGAAGCGACTTTGCAGCATCTGGAGGACTATGCATCGGATGGTCTTCGGACACTTTGCTTGGCTATGCGTGAAGTTCCCGAAGACGAATTCCAGCAGTGGTACCAGATTTACGACAAGGCTGCGACAACGGTTGGCGGAAACCGTGCCGACGAACTCGATAAGGCTGCGGAGCTGATTGAGAAGGACTTTTACCTTCTGGGCGCTACCGCCATCGAGGATCGTCTGCAAGATGGAGTTCCAGACACTATCCACACCCTCCAGACGGCAGGTATCAAAATCTGGGTCTTGACTGGTGACCGACAAGAAACCGCCATCAACATTGGAATGTCGTGCAAGCTCATTTCCGAGGACATGACGTTGTTGATTATCAATGAGGAGAGTGCAGAAGCAACTCGAGATAATCTGACCAAGAAGCTCCAGGCTGTTCAAAGCCAGGGGACGTCGGGTGAAATCGAGGCGCTGGCTTTGATCATTGATGGTCGATCATTGACGTTTGCCCTTGAAAAGGATATGGAGAAGCTGTTCCTGGACCTGGCTGTCATGTGTAAAGCTGTGGTCTGCTGGTAAGTCAACCTCGCCTCCGTAGGCGGGACTGAGCTAATGTTTTATAGCCGTGTTTCTCCCCTTCAAAAGGCCCTTGTCGTCAAGCTTGTTAAACGCCACCTTAAGTCTCTACTTCTCGCTATTGGAGATGGCGCAAACGACGTGTCCATGATTCAAGCCGCACACGTTGGTGTTGGTATTAGTGGTGTCGAAGGTCTACAAGCTGCTCGGTCTGCGGATGTTGCTATTGCACAGTTCCGGTATCTTCGCAAGCTTCTGCTTGTCCATGGTGCCTGGAACTACCACCGGATAAGTCGTGTCATTCTGTACTCGTTCTACAAAAACATTGCTCTCTATATGACGCAATTCTGGGTGAGTTTGCCTCTGAGCGACGCTGTCCGCTATTTTGTACTGCTACTGACAACCTCTAGTATTCCTTCCAAAACGCCTTCTCGGGTGAAGTTATCTACGAATCTTGGACTCTATCTTTCTACAACGTGTTCTTCACCGTGCTCCCTCCATTCGCAATGGGTATCTGTGACCAATACATCTCCGCTCGACTGTTGGACCGCTATCCCCAACTGTACCAACTCGGACAGAAGGGCATGTTCTTCAGGAGACATAGTTTCTGGTCATGGGTTCTAAACGGCTTCTACCATTCCCTCCTGCTGTACGTCGTCTCAGAACTATTCTTCCTCTGGGACGGACCCACAGGAGACGGTAAAACTTCCGGCCACTGGGTGTGGGCCGAAGCAACCTACACCGCAGCACTAGCAACAGTGCTAGGCAAAGCCGCCTTGATCACCAACATCTGGACCAAATACACGTTCATCGCCATCCCAGGCTCGATGCTACTCTGGCTCATCTTCCTCCCAGCCTACGGTTACGCAGCCCCAGCCATCGGCTTCTCCCAAGAATACTACGGCACGATCCCGCGTCTCTTCAAAGACCCCGTCTTCTACCTAATGGCCGTCATCCTCCCCTGCATCTGCCTACTCCGCGACTACGCCTGGAAATACGCCAAACGCATGTACTACCCGCAACACTACCACCACGTGCAAGAAATCCAGAAATACAACGTCCAGGACTACCGCCCCCGCATGGAACAGTTCCAGAAGGCGATCCGCAAAGTCCGTCAAGTCCAACGTATGCGGAAACAGCGCGGCTACGCATTCAGTCAGGCCGACGAAGGTGGACAGATGAGAGTGGTAAATGCTTACGATACTACCCGGGGCAGAGGACGCTACGGTGAAATGACCAGCTCCAGGGCTCTGGTGTAATGAATGACTTGATTGACTTTACCTGATTGATTGATTGATCGATGGAAGCTTTTTTTTTATATGTGTGTCTGTGTGTGTCTTTTGTATTCTCATTTTTCTTTTCTCTTCTTTTCTTTATCTTTCGCTTCTCTGTAACTCTTTGAAGTGTTCCCGTCTCGTCTCATTGCATGAGTCTCCATCCTTGTATTAGTTGCATTTTCTGGCGATGAAATGAAGTCTCTTTTCTTTTCTCCCTCTTGGAATGGATGGATGTGGCTTGGTCCGTTTTGTGTGTCCTTCTCCTCTTCCCTCCCTTTATATTACCTACTTACCTACCTACCTAACCAACCAACTACATCAATGAGACAACCTGAATCAATACTGGCGGTTATATACGTGGCTTTTTCTATTCTTCCTACTTCCTAGCGTTCAATCAGTATGCAGATATGTCCTACTACTACGTAATGAAAGAACCCATGATTCAAAACAATGGTGTTTTCAACCGTACATCCAAAACACACAGTTCACAACAATTATTCCAGATATGACTACCAGTAAATTTAATCCAGGTTCCAGAAAAGGCGATAGCCAAAAAAACACAGTACAGAACAAACCGCCACCACCATCAACAAAGCCAAGACAAGAAAGGAAAGAAAGTCATCGTGTACACCTCTCCTCGGGCCTCCTCCAACCCACCCCCAACCCCTCCATAACCAACCTCTCCCTCTCCTCCCACGTCTCCCCATCAGCCTCAAGATCAATAACCTGTCCGCCCGAAGTCCTCTCCCTAACCCCACTGGAATCAAACTTCCACCCATGCGCCTTCTTCACATACCGTCGTAGATCCCTTTCGAAGGTCTTATCGCCTGACCAGCCGAGCACGGCACACCCGACTGTTCGCCAGGGGGAAATGATGATGTCTACTCTGCGGTGGGGGTTTGGGTTTCGTTTACTCTTTGCGTGGTGTTCTTCTTCTTGAGGAGTTTCTGTTTCCGGTTGGTTCGTAGTGTCGTCGAAGTGAGGATCCTGCCATACGACGAGGGCTTTATCTAATGTGTCGAAGTTCTTGCCCGTGCTTTCGGCATTACTTGCTCGGTAGGGGAGGGTTTGTTGGTCGCGGTTAGAGGTCATTAAGTGCAGGGCTAGGGTGTGGGTAATCCAGCCAGAGGATTCCAGGCTGGCGACTACGTCGACGACCAGGTTCTTGGTTAGGGATTCGTCTGGGTGGGTGAGGATGAGGTCGACGTCGCCGCAGAGGGGTTTTCCGCGACGGTAGCCGCCTACGATTATACATTGGATGCCTTTTTCTTCGTTGTCGAAGGAGGTTGGACGGACGAGGTTGGCGTGTTGGGTTACTGTTGTGGCGATTTGTTCGACCTCGGGGCGGGGGATGCCGGTTAGGAACTCGTCGTAGTATTTTAGGCCGATTTGTTGGACGCGGGTCAGGTTGTTCCAGCCGTGTTCGATGATGTCGTCTAGGTCTGTCCAGTGGCGGTAGTAGTAGAATTCGCGCGCGGTTTTGGCGCCGACGCCCCAGATGTTGTAGAAGGTGTTGAGGATCTGGAGGGTTGGGTCGGTGTCTAGGAGGGTGGCGGCTGAGAGGGTGCCCGTTGGGCTTTGTTGGTATTCGTAGAAGAGGTTGGCGATTTTGGTGTCGCAGCCTGGGAGGGTGAGGACCTCAGAGGGGCGGCGGAATCCGTGCGGGTAGGCTGCTATCGCTGCGATGGAGGTGCTGTAGGCGCGGACGCCGATTTCGTCGAGTGTTAATTCGCGGATTTGTCGGATTTTGATAAGCTGGTTGATGAAGCCTTCGTTTGGAGGGTTGAGGGGGGTGGAGCGCAGGCAGGCGTAGAGAATGTGCTCCTTCACCCAGTCTGGGGCTGGGGGGAGGGATTCGGTTTCTTCGTTCTCCGAGGTGGTGGTTCGGTATAGTTTGGGCGGGTTGTGAGTAGAATCGTGAGTACGCGCATGGTGGTATACGGTCGGTGGCTTTGGTGGCGGTCGTAATGCGGCATCCTGCCTGGCTCGTTGGAGGATATCGCTCCCTAGGGAGGCTGGCTTTGAGGGCTCTACGGGGCGTGGAGCCCGTCGGGCGATGTAAATCGTATATGGATCGGTAGAAAGGAGCTCTTGCGCCTTGAGACATTGGTCCAGCCAGTCTAGTTTGACGACGCTGATGGTGTCTGCTTGTGCAACGGAGGATGACACGGAAGACGCGTCAGACGGATTTGAAACGGTTGACTCCGCGGCGGGGGAGTCAGTCTGCGTCCGATGGAGATGCCGCGAGGGGTCATGCCGACTTTTCATCCCATCTTCTTCGTCTTCTGTCTCCGTGCTGAGGTCGATATCGTCGGCCTGGTCTGCAGCTATTTTCGACTCGGCTGCATTGACACGACGCCGCTTCTTTGGGGGCTCGTATTTACTGATAGGTTCGGTCCATATTCCACGAGATCGTAGTTCTAAAGCTGCTCGCTTTCCTTGTCCGATTCTCCCGAGTACCAGTCTGGCTTCGGATATGTCGTAGGTCAGAGGTGCTTCTCGCTTAACCAGCTCCTCTTCTATGCTGTGAAGCGATTCCAGACTGAGATGGGTGGGGAGCACAAAGATAGGCGGGCAATTTAGAAAGCTGGGACCGGATTGCCCTGCATCATCATCCTGTGCAGGGGAGCTTGCTGTGGTTTCTGACATCCCCAAGCTATATTCTCATTGTAGTTGGGTTCAACGAGATTCATATATAGATGAAGTGTGAGAAGCCACAACGTAAGGCTTCTGTATAGGTCACTTCCAGATTATATCGTATATATAGATCCCTAGACATAAGATAGTTATTTTGTGGGAAATCATCAGGGCGTTTAGCTTGCGACAGCGCTAGATGTATATCGTGGCCGAAGACAGGCTGGATAGTTGTTGGATAGTCGCATGGGGCGACGGCTTTTGAGCCAAGATGGCACTCCGATCAGTCGTTGTAGAAATCAAATACGAGAGTACCAGGATCTTATCAATTAGGATAGAGCATCATGCTTGCTGTAGTTGTTGCGCGTTGTCTGAAGCAAAAGGAAGAATGGAAAGCGAATCTTGCGTCGTGATGGCTGACGTCAGTCCCCTTCGTATTTCTATTGGTGCCTGAGGCATTCAATTGGACCCCCATGTTAAGGTTACCCGATTGGGAAGTCACTATGCGCACTCAACTCAAACCTTTGATCACGGTCAATTGTGTTAACTTCAATTCTCTGCTCTGGGTCTCTCCATATGCATTATTAGACTCGTACGCGTAACCAGTCTTGTGCATAAGCTTTTTACACGAATTTATGCCAAGAGAAGCAACGCAATTGTCACACAGTCTCTAAGGGGCCACAGATAGCCTGAGTCATTTCGTTCGGGTCATTTGTATGTCTACATGTCAAGAGAGATCCATGTCTATTCACCTGCATATCTTATCAAACATGATCTCATGATCTCGGAGCTTTTCTCCATGTTCGGATCATGAATACTAGGGTATCTGCGAGGTGCTATCAACAGACGAGGATGGCAGGACTAAGTTGTGTTTTGAAATTGGACCAGACACAGACCTCCGAAGTGCGTGCTACAGGGGTTCGCTATGGATTACCTGGACTTCAGCTGATAAATGACTTATCTTGGTTCCTATCATTGATTGCTGTATAAACGTTCACTGTGGTATATGAAGTGGAGTTAGCAAAGCATTGGCGGGTAACTTTGATGCGAGAATATCTGAAAATCTCAACAGATCAACTCTACAAGAGCCTCTGGACTCCCAATGAGTAGACTATCTGTGTAACCATACAATGTCGTGCCTAGTCATCTTCAAAACTGGACTCGGGCTGCTCAGCCTCATTTACTTCTTGTCAGGGGTCGCGACAAATAACCCTTCGGTTGGCAGTGCAACAATCTGTCGTGAGAACCCAGCCCATCGCTTGACTTTCACACCCCTGGGTCTATTTTAAAGTTTTTTCTTGATGCCCTATGACTAGACAAACAATAATCTGTGTGAATTCGGGCTTCTTACGCCTTGGGACCGGGTTGAGCAATTGGCTATACACCCATTCCAATATGGCCTATGAAGGAGCGGACCGTCATCAAAACAACAGGAACGAAATCGCACTTTAATAGAGTGCTCAGGCCCTTTATCATGAACAATATATACCGGAGTCGCAAGCGAGAGTCAGTAGTGGGTATCATCCAAGTTCTTGTCTGCTTTGTAGGCCGGGCACCATTGGCGATAAACTAACCCAGCCCCTCTTGCTGAGCACATCTGACGCTTAATAGCACCATAGCTACATTATCTGTTGCCTACTATCACTGAACAATCATTCATCATGTTCAAATCCCTCGCATTGATCGCTCTCGCAGCAATCAGCCCCATCGCCTTATGTGCCCCTATCACCAGCAGAGACATCCCATTCGGACAGGTCATTACCACATGCACCACCCCCAACACCATTGCATTGACCTTCGATGATGGCCCATCGTCATACACTCCCCAACTGCTCGACCTTCTCAGCGAATACAAAGTCCGGGCTACCTTTTTCGTCCTCGGCGAAGCCAGTCAGACCAACCCCAAGATAATCCAGCGCATAAGACAGGAGGGACATCAAGTTGGCTCTCATACGTATGCAGCCCCAACCACACTGTCCCCCCCACACAAACTAAAAACTACATCATACAGCTACGACCACACCAGCCTCCCCACACTAAGCTACGACCAAATCGTCCAAGAAATGACCAGTCTTGAGTCCGTGCTCCAAAGCTCCATGGGCGAAATTCCAACCTACATGCGTCCCCCTTACTTCGACGTCAACGACTTGACCCTCCAGGTTATGAAGGATCTCGGCTACCATGTCATCACAGCCAGTATTGACACTAAGGACTATAACCACAATAGCCCTGAGCTGATCAGTCAGAGTTATGACAAATTCGTCACTGAACTCGACAATGGTGGTAATCTTTGCTTGGCCCATGATACTAAGGAACAGACGGTGGTTACCTTGGCGAAGATGATGCTGGATGAGACGAAGTCGAGGGGTTTGACTGGTATTTTCCCGTTATCCTCTTTAGATATGGATGACTTGGGTGGCTAATGTTGGGCAGTTACTACTGTTGGCGATTGCCTCGGAGACCCAGAGGCGTTGTGGTACCGTTCCAGCCGATAGAGGTTTAGGTTTCATGGTGTTGCTGGTTATGTCCCTGGGTCGAATGCGAATGCGAAGGCGAGTGCTTCCGGTTATAGCTGGCGAGGACGGGTTTTGGTAGCTGTGGCAGTGTATGTTTCTGGGTTGTGGCTATCGGAGTTGTTCTCCATGCTCAGAGCTTGAATATTGGTCCTTGGGTGCTGCTAGTTAGTCCGTGGAGGATGAATAGCTTGTCGACGGGATGAGTTGCAAGAGGCTAAGCTTGTTTTTTAATGGTTGTGTATTGAGTTTCCGGGCTATACACGAAGGGTAACCAGGTTTATGATTTTAGATCCTGAGATATAGCTAGTTCAGAAGTTAGTCAGTGATGAGACTTGGTTTGGTTGTTTAGTAGTCATCCCTTCATGAGAAAGTAACTAATCAGATCACTTTTTTGAAAAGTGTATCAATTGCTACCAAAAATACCGCATAACTTTTAACTCTATCATACTATAGAGCTTAATAAAATCCACCGGTGTATAATCGTAAAATGCATTTTAATCGCATACTCATATCTCATTACCCCCTCAACCCTCCCCAAGCACCAATAACCCACCCCTTTCTTCCCTTCAACCACCCGTCATCACCGCGCAGGCCCCCCACCAACCGGCTCCACCGTAACAGCCGCATCCCCCTTCCCCGTAGCTCCATAATTAACAGCAGCAGCCCCATCCCTCCCCTCATCCAGAATCGGCGTATCAGGAGCATTAGTAACAGACGGTTCTTCATCCCGATATCCCTCGACATCAGTAACAAAGGTCTTTCCATGTCTCCGAGCAATCCATCTCCTCCAGGGCTTGTAAACAACCACACTGAGGCCGCCGATGATGATAAAGAGTCCACAGATACCGCCGCCAATGGCGTCATAGTAGTCTCCTGCTACTTGGACTCCATCCCAGAATTTGCCGGTGGGGTTAGCGACGTTCAGGACCAGAGTGAGTAGTTGGATCACGCCGATGACGATGGCGACCATCACTGTTAGGCAGGTTAGGACGATGGAGTAGTACAGGAATGCTACTGGGTCGCGGTGGTTCTTGGATGGTTCGACTTCGGTGTCTTCGCCCATGAGGGGCGCGTCGGAGGAGGTGTCGCTCTTTGGGGGGAGGAAGTTGGCGGAGGGTTGGACGTAGAGGGAGAGCATTAGGGCTCCGTCGGTGGTGTCGAGGAGACACATTCCCGCTGGTATGTTGTTAGTAAATTGATGTAGTAAAACAAGGGATTGTTATTTGAGTGTGTCAAGTTGATGACTTACCTGTGAATAGGACCGGAAAGATCAGGATAACCCAAAAGTTAGTGCCCTTGGCAGCTTCGACAGACGAGATGCCAAGAAGGGCGATTTCAGATGATGTGTCAAAGCCAAGACCGAACAAGATTCCAAGCGGATACATTTTCCAAGGTCTGAGCGAGGTTAGTACTCTTACTTGGCAATAGGTGGAGTGGAGTCTTTACCTGTCAATAAGCTTGAACATGCGCTTAAGCACGGAGAATAGCATACCACCGCCCTCGATCTTCCACACTTCATCTTCTTGGCCTTCGGGTAGATCTAAGACCTTTTGCATTTGCTTGTATAATTTGAACAAGATGTAGGCATTCATGAGACCCAGTAGGATCAGGAAAGCGGCACTGACTGAAGTGCCGATGATACCGCCAATGGTGCTGAAACTGTCGAATCTTGATGAGATAGCTGCAGCGGTAGCTGCGACTACGATGGAGGTGATGATAACAATACTGATGTTTGTTAGCTTGAAGAAGCGTGTCTTGAAAGGGAGGAACTCACGTGGAATGGCCGAGAGAGAAGAAGGTGCCTACGGTGACGGGCTTTTGGCCCGTTGCCAGTAATCTTCTGGTCATCAAATCGATGGCCTACACAGTATTTGTTAGGTCTTGTTGCTAAAGTGCATATGAAGTAATTACCGAGATATGATCCGCATCGAATGCGTGTCTCAATCCGAGAGTATAAGATAGTACGGCATTAGACACCAGGGACCTGGGGTAACTTAGTAAGATGATGCTAGCTCCGTGAGTATAGCTTTTGAATCACATACGGGTAATAGCGCTGGAAAATGTTAGTTCATGGCTTAAAAATGAATCCAGTCAAGAGGGCAAGAAGGGTGATAAACATACCAACACAATTGCGGCGGCAATCCACACCACAACGTTAATGAACGCAATGAACAGAATAATAGCGATGGCAGGCAAAGGAACCTTCTTCAGTCCCGGCAGCCGGCGATGCGATCGCTCAGCCTGCCTGACGAACTTTTTGATATTCCATTTGGTACGTGCAACATCGGTTTGGCCATTTCCCTCCGAGACATGGCTTGGGTTAATACTGGGAGGGGTCGAGTCCCGCATGGTTGACAGATAACAGCCACAGGGACTCCCACAAAAAGTGCTTTAATATGGTTATTTTTGAGAGATACCCCTTCCAGCAGTCCGCAGTTGGAATGGAATCGAGTGGCTGAACAGGACAATTTATCTGGATAAGATTTGTCGTCCGTGGGTTAAAGCGTGCCGTGGGGAATGTCAAGGCTTTTTGGGGGGGTGCGGGAGGGGAAAAGAAAACCTGATAAGGCTCACATGCGATAAGGTATAAGAGAATTTAGACGGTCGAATTATCAATGCCAACCAAGCAGTGGATCCGGATTTGACGAACTGAGGACCAGAGGAGAAGGATTATTTATGCAAAGCCCATTTGGCGAGTTCTTGCAGTGGAGCTCCTTGCAGTCCCACAGGGTCCTGTTGGAGTTGTTCACTAGCAGTTAGTTCCTTGCTCGGGTGGTGTAGTACCGGGGACGCCCGGGGTGTCTTACTTTGGAGAAGGCTGAAAGCAATACACTCTTCTATGTCTATCATATAAAAACAGAAAGAAACGAACAAACCGCAGATAACAATATATCAATGATCTCTGTGAGATTGTGCCCACAATGATGGATGCAAGCCTGATTCTTCTGGTCTGCTCGGCTCTGGGAAACAACTGCCCACGTGACGTGCCCGCATCTGAAGGCGGAGCACGCCGACCAGCAGTTGCATCTCCGACTTCATCTTCTAGTCTACTCCCTCCCCCAATGCAACACTGCAACTTCCCCTCACTTTACGTACTAGAAATTCAATCATGTGAAGATAGTACTTTCATTTCATGCAGGTCTATTGTACACGTCTCATCCCTGTGAGCCCAACTTCTCATGTCAAGTCCGATTGATCTGATCACCCATTTCAAAAGGATCGGTCGGGACAATAGATCCGTTTGCGGGTGAGCATTCAACCTTCCGAATATTTTCGTGCTCGCGGGTCGTTTCTTCTCTCTGAAATCCACCCGCCCTGCGGTGGTCCCTGCGCCTAGTTGGCCGGTTTGCCGACATCGCTCGGATAGCTCCACTCAACCAGCCATGGCTGTCGGCAGAAATCCGCTCAACGGTGGAGTATTCCTGCCAGTCCGAGAACGGTCCTGCACGGGAGATTAGCTCGGGCTCGGGATTAATATACTAAACGTGCAGGTGTTCTTACCCTTTAGACCCGGGATACTTCTTCAGACTGCTCCGATGCGCAGATGGCTCGATTTTGGAGGTCCCTCTGATCATGGCCATGGCCATGATTGTGCTGGAGGTGTTGGTGGTATAGCATTTGCTCGACATAGTGTCAAGCAATCAATGATGCTGTTCACGCAGCAGCCATAACAGTTGGTGATGGTGTCCACTTGGTAACAGTGGTCTTGCCCAAAGGAAAGTCTGTACGGAGCATGTTCCATTCGTTCCGAGTAATAGGAGTCACATCAGATGCAGACAGTGGTGTCTTGGGCCCGCGCTTGGTTGGCAAGTTGTATCTTGTTGGCGGAGGGTTTTGGCGACGAGCTGCCCGGATCGCACGTAGTGGTGACTTCCGGGGACGCTCCACCTTCACCCGGGGTGGCACATTGGTCTTGGCGGGAGGTGCAACATCGGCCTTCGCGGGAGGTGGGATAATAATCCCTTCCTGCTTGTATTGCTTTCTGAAGGCATCCGCCACCTGGGATAACAGCATATCAGGCACATCCAGCTGCTCGTAGACGCGGTGGAAGAAGGCTCTGCTGAAGGGACGACCATGGAAGTCATTGATGGTACGGTGGAGGAGTTGCGCGCAGGATGAGATGTAAGATTCTTCGGGCTGGGTTCCCCGATGGGAAAGGATGCACAGCCGGCGCTTGAGGGTGTAGATGCGGTCCACGTTCAGCAGTGTCAGACCCTCTCTGCTGAAGATCACTTCATTCTGCATAATCGACTGTTGGATCAGGTAGTCGTGGGCCTGGCGCTCATGCTGGCTGCGGTTCAAGGCGTCAGTCCAGCTGTGGCCTAAAGAGAACTTGCTGGCTCCCTTGGCCACCGTGCGGAACACGATCCGCCATGCTGTCTCATCCAGAGGGGTGATGGGGATGACGATGAGATCGGATGGCTGGCCGGTTGGGTAGGGCTTCCCGCGACCCACAAGCAGAGTAACGTGCATCATCCTCTGCTCCAGCTTGGAAGAAACGTATTCAAGGGCAGGAATAATGGAAGGAGTCAAGGTCTCAGAGTCAAAGTTGAACTCAGGTGATAATGGGGAGGAGATCATATCGCCCTTGAGGCTCCGTGTGGGTGAGTTCGGCACATACACGCCGGTTGGGCGAGGTAAACGCATGACACCCATGTTGGTATGTATAAGACGATCACTGCAATAGAGATGACCAGAACAAGAAGAAAGGTAAGAGTCAAAAGCACTTCAACTCCAATTACTGGAAGTTGTGCGTGAGAGAAAACGAAAAGGAGCGTTGTTGTAATGGGGAGATCGTGAGCAATAAATCTTCATCAGTTCCCTGTCGGACACTAAAGGAGGGGAAGGGAAGCCCGGCGATAGAGACGCCAAATCCCTCAACCAACGCTCCACAAATTAGTGCTGCAGCAACCCCTCTTTGGACTATTTTGGGAATTCTAAGGATAGTAAATCCCCGGCTCCGTGAAGCACGAAGGCCAGTCATTGCCATCCAACCTGGATCCGGGGGAGCGGCACCCAATGGGTCGGGCGATATAAATAACCTTAAGCGCCGGGCGTGCCGTGTGATGGGCTCGTGCATGGCCCTTATGCAGGTTGAGCACAGAACACGCCAAACACTGGAAGCTGACTGGTGGACGGATTGATTTTAGCGTCGATTAATATCACTAGTAGCCAAAGTCCGGATCACTTCTTTCTCTTTGGACCCCATCAATACCACCCCAAGGCTGAACTGGACTTTCACCAACGGTTGTGACAGTGATAGCCTTATCGGTCCAACGGCAGTACCACCTCTTCCAACAGAAGTATACCAAGAGTGCCCCTGCACCAACATCGGCTGCAGAAGTCGCCCTCCTTTGGACACGACAATTTGATCCAAACTAATCAGCCAACACTTCGTGCGATTACCAGGACACCCCGCTCCGACGCGCCATAAAATGCCGAATGGTGCAGTGCACGCTCAGCTGGCCCCCACCTGATAAGACCTTGCAGGAACTATTGATTTCCTGCAGCTGCACAGCGCTAACCTCCAATCCGTGAGAGGTGGGCTTCCAGAATGGCGTGGTCATAGTTCCATTACCCCGCCTAAGGCTGTCGATAAGTGTGATATGGCTCTGGGCTGGATTGGACGGGATTGTGCCATGTGTGCTTGCTGTCATGGGAGGATTCACGAGCATGTCTCCCACCGTGTGGGACTCTTAACCGACGGACGTGACAAAAATTGATGGCCTTGCGTCGGAGCACTCGGGTCCTTCCTCGATTCCACATGGCCTGTGGATTTACCGCCGAGCGGGATGAGGGATTTGGCTTGTGCATTAGGTAGTCAATAGTTCTATCTCGCTTGCATGGTCGTACGTGGCGGGTGTCGTGAATGGGATACTCCGTACTATGGGGCCGTTATCACACTTATCTGCGAATGTGGCGTGCTGGCATTCGAAAGTTGGGATCCTTTATCGAGATCCTTTGTTTCCCCCGGAAACCCAGGCAATGTTGGTTGGCAGTTGCCATCTTTAATGCTGCGATACATTCAGCGGGGTTGTTGGAACTTCCGGGTTGTTCCTAAATAGATGTAGTGGTAAATTCCATCCCACGGCTCTCTTCACTCCAAGGTCATGTGAAGAACCACGCTAGTTCACATCTTGCAGACCCAACTTACACCCTCTTCTGTCCTCCTTCTTCATTCTTCGGTCTAAACAAAATTTTCACGGCGCACTTTGTTCTCTGCTCCTGTGCTATCTTCTTCCGCTACAACAGAGCTCCATCTATTGATGTCTTCGGATATTACTACTCCGATCTTCAGCTGTTCAGCCCATGTAAAATGGCTCTCCGAAGCTTGAGAATGATGTGAGTACTTGCAGTGACACGCTTTGCACTTCCAGGGATCAACTTTATAGGATGGTCTCTCCCATTCCAGGGCATCTGATATCTGACACCCTTTTCTAAGATACTTTTGGCGCCTTGGAAGCTTCTTCGGAGCTCGCTCGCGGTACCAAGTTTGGGAATTCCACCTTGATCTAGGTTGAAATTATCGCGATTAACCTACGGGGCAATACGAGTTGTATAAGATTTGGGTGTTAACCTACTAAGTATATCTGGCAGACTAAAGTTCATACTATATTGATCTCTTACGTACATTGTCACTGTTTTTCCTGGAGTATAGAGATCAGCAGGTGAGACAGATGACGTGAATGTCCGGTACGAAGTCGGCATTCCACTGTATGTTATTACATCAGTGGTTTTCCATTGTTACAATGTAAACCAGTCATCCTGCTCAAAAGTCTCATCTTTGGAAAGTGGTTGTGTTTGAATCACTTCCAATGCATTGTTTTCGTTCTTTGTTGCGTGGCTACTTGCGGGTTCCTCCAAAATGAATTGATATCCTACTTTAGGTGCAAGCCACTTCATAGCGACAACTTCCTTCACACCCCCGCAATCTGCCTATACCACATGCTTTTGCTCACGTTAACCCAGACATCCCCTCCTAGCACCACATTATAAAAACCCCTCAATGGACCCATTCCTTGTGTTGCCTCCTGCCTCACCTGTGCACATCTATCTCTACCCTATACTCAGATCACCTCACATCCTCATCTACCAACAAGTCACGCGTCAAAATGGAAGCGTCAAAAGAAGCCTACAAGGAGCTAGTCGAGTTTAACGATGTGACATTCACGGCCATTGAGACAGTGAATCGGATCGTTCGGATTCTCGTGTTCAACTACCTGATTGAGCAAGAAGATGGTTTCTTCTATCCTTCATTGACCGATGACACCGGAGGACTTAGAGAGTCCGACATCCAACGCGATAACCGGTCCGGCATCGTGCAAAGCGTTATGTATGCTTTGGGAATCATTGCTCGTGTTTCGGACCCTAAGGTCTTGGGGATTGGCTGGATAAATACCAGCGATCAGCTACTCCTAAGGGAAGCCCTGGAAGCCATGTCCAGGCCCGAGGATCTCGTGGATATCGGTGCATTCAAGTTGTACCTAGAGCAAGAATGGTGCCTGGCTATCGTCAGTAAGATTGAACATTGTGGCCAAGACGGGGTCAGGCAAGAGGGCTGTGATAATGAGGGGGATAAGAAAGAGAAGAGAAATTGGGGCAAACAGTTTCTGGGTGAGCTCTATCCACTGGAGCTAATGCATCTGCAAAATGTTTCGAACAAGTTCTTTCCAATGGATAGCGAGAACGTTTGGGGGGCGCAGTATCAGCATGCTTCGTGAGTTTATAACATTGGGGAAATTGGGCCTGGTTTCGGCCCCATTTGGTTTTCCATGTTTCGCAACATCAAGTATCTTGTCTGAGTCAGTAATTCACTGTTGTGTTTACAATATAACAAGATTTGTCTTTCGTGATCTCCGCATATCCCTTGAGTAATATCTCCAAAAATGTACTCGTATAGATGAAAGTGATCCATTGGATTTCCAGAAGTTGTATAAGGTGGACCAGGGTTATATTATAAGTGGGGCAAAGAAAGAACGAACAAAAAGCAAAAAGAATGACCAGACTGGGGCTCGATCCCAGGACCTTATCGGTGTTAACGATACGTGATAACCAACTACACCATCCGGCCATGCTTGTTGAAAGCACCTTAAAATTTTGGCTCTATCAGCAACTGCTTAATTCCCTTTGAAGTTTCCACAGCAATATCAGCTCCGCGCGAGCCATATAACCCAACCCACGTCCAGTGTCCTATACTCAAATTCAATGCACCTATTTACTCATACAATGAAAATTCGAGCTCATAAGGGTCAACTGTAAGAAGATAAGGATTTTGATCTCTCACTTATAGATGTGACCACGACTTCTTGATTGTGCCGCGTATCAGGATCTAACCCGGGTGTCCTGGGTTCGGTTTAGATGTAGGTCGGGTGTCCTACGAGTAGAGAAATAACCAGCATACCAATTGTGCAGATTTATCTGAAATTGTCAGTGACTACTGGTTATTTTTTACAGCTATGGTGGCCTTTACTGGGCGTTGGCTACCTTTGTGTTGCCCTCATCGCGCATACCCTTGGATCCGTGCTATAACTGCCAGTCTAATATATATTCCAACAGTTGACCAGTACTCGACCCAACAAACTCCGACCAAATCACAGCGTGATTGTTCAGTTAGCGTAGGCTATACGGATTACTTACCATATTAAAAAGGTGGACCATTACATAGAAGAACTAAGAGTTCATTTGTAAACAGCCGGAACTTCTGCTAAACACCCAAATCAAGCAGTCGTTCCTGCTTCATTTACTTCACCATGGAGATTGCCGAAGAGCTTAGGCACAGGGCTATGTAGCACAAATATGGGCAGTCTTTCAACAAGTTGGCCGGATGGTGTAGTTGGTTATCACGTATCGTTAACACCGATAAGGTCCTGGGATCGAGCCCCAGTCTGGTCATCTTTTTGCTTTTGCTCTTTTTTATTTGCCCCACATATGCCTCAGAATCTCCAAAGTATACAGTACCCACCCATACCCACCACAATAAGGCTACAACACCACCAACCTAGTGACGAATGTCATCATGGGAGCTTCCTGAGTGCTGCTTCCCAAGTGCCACATGTAATTATATGGTACCTGCTATCCTCCGCCACAGAGTACTCGAACACCCAGCCATAGTTCACTACGCACCCAGTTGCCAAACGAAAGTAACTAGGTATCGACAAAACCGAGGCAACTTGACGCTTATATATAGATTATCAAAATAATAACATTCTCCTAGCTGAGATCAACCAGTCTTAGTAAGGAAGGATAATATAATAATGAGTAGTGTATAGAGATATATGACTGAATTATATGATATAATCCTATTTTACTTTTCATGTTTATTTTGCTTTGCTTATAGATGATATACTTCATACCCAATCAACAGATCTTTAACTAGCGCCCGTGTATCCAGATATTAGTGTCCAGTGAGGAATCTGAAATATAAGATTATGGCAGAATCCTATCAGAGGCGTAAAGAAGCGACGTTCTCAACGATAAATTTTGTAGCATTAGCTCGGAACTCATCCACAATGATGTCATCTTCATCCCGGCCAAAATGCATCAGTTTCTCGTTGTCCCCCCACTGCGGCCACTGCAGAGTTTGGTTGCCCTTATTTGGGTCCTGATAAGTTATGAAAGAGAGATAGTATGACCAGATCGAGGACACCACACGTTCA